AAGTAATTGCTCCATGGTTTCCTTTGCTAGTTTTTGTCCGATTGAGGTATATAACGCTGTCACGTCGAAGGATAGCATTCATTTCATTCTTCCATCTGGTTTTCTTGAGCAGTAATCGATCAATATTATTGATTCGATGTTATTTAAACAACATTAATGTTGTTCATAACACTAATTCATTCATTCATTCACTATAATGTATATATAATTGTAGAGCCTGATGAAGAACAGGTTATCGAAAGAGTATTCTTTGTCCATTCATTTGACAATTATTAAATTTCAAATTGAAGTATGCGCTGAAGATGTCACCCAGTAAGGTGATGAAAGCTTCGCAAACTAACCATCCAGCTCAGAGAACAAAACCACATCAAAAAGTTCTTCAGCTTTCTTGGTATATTCTTCTCTGTCCATGACTACTGTTGTTCTTCCTTTGTCGGCTGGTAAAATGACGATGTCCTTCCTATTTTTCAGCTTTTTGAGGGCCTTTAGTTCTTGAGCGTTGAGTTGTGTGTGTTGTCTTTTCTGTTTGACCATTAGTACAATTGTTTGGCGTATCTCTTCCTGTGTTTCCTCGTTCAAGTTTGATGGTTTGAGTAATGATTCAAAGGCAGCGAAGAAATCAGTTTTTGAAGCATCTCCGGTGTTGTAGTTTAATCCTTTTTGTAGTAGTTGTTGTTCCATTTTTGATAGTGGTTGTTTTGATAGGTTGACTACACAGTCTATGAGCGTATTGTCTGGTTGTTGTTTTCTAGTCTTGGCTAGCTTGGTTTTGAGGACTCTTTGTCTTTGTTCGCTGTGTTTTTCACTTGACAGTGTAATTGCGGTGATCAGCGTTGACAGGTGTTCCTGGTTGAGGGTTTTCTCTAATTTTGCTTTTCGGATATCTATAATTTGTTGATATTTGTTGATCCGATAATGTGCGTCTGTAATCATTAATTTGACCATTCGTCTTCCACATTGTTCGGCCAATTTCCATCTCATTGGGCAGTTGACTGGTGGTTTGTATCCTTTACCTACCTACCCACCTGGGAAGCATCGTTTCAACTACAGGCGGACGAAACGGACGAGGATATCAAAGCAAGAATCGGAAAAGCAAGAAAACCTTTCATTTCTCTCAAGTCTGTGTTGAGATCAACAGCACTCACCATGAAAATGTGGATAAGATCCGGATTTTCAACTCCGATCTGAAGTCAATGATACTATACAGATCAGCCACTTGCACTGCGCATCATAAAGCGCACCTCAAACAAACTACAGACCTTCATTAACAGCTGTATTCGCTCAATACTCAAGATCACATGGCCGGCCAGAAAAGATCAGCAACACGGATCTCTGGGAGCGAACCAATCAGGAACCGATTGTGAAACAAATAGGCAGGAAGAAATGGAGATGGATTGGCCATACTCTGAGGAAACCATCAAGTGACATCACTAGACAAGCCACTGCTCCAGTGGAACCCGAAAGGGAAGCGGCGAGTTGGTCGTCAGTGCAAGGCTGACTTGGAGGAGGTCATGTGAAGAGGAGATGAAAACATGTGGGCAGACCTGGAGAGGAGTGGAAAAGTTGGCAGAAAACCAAAGGCAATGGAGACGCGTGGCTGAAGCCCTACGTTCCTCTAGGAATTAAAGGATATAATAATAACAATTGTCAAAACTACTGGTGATTCCAGTATGCCAATACACGCCTCCTCCTTCAAATTAATCTATACAAAGGGAAGAATAATTTGCCAAAGGCAACACGCTTTCATCTCCTCTGAATTACTGAAACTCCTAACCAATCAGTGAGTTAAGAAAAACGGTGTGCATAGGAAAGAAAATTATTTCACCACTTCTAATATCTCAACGCACCAGTGGCACAATAGTAGAATGTCCCCCAACTACGCATGTGGTCCAGGGATCAATTACCCAACGCATATAGAGTAGACAAATATGAAGGTGGACTAAACACACACGCTGAAAAACGTCCTGTGAATTACTTCAGGCGCTAGACCATCAAGTGGAACCCTAGTGGAAAACGAGTTGACAGTTGGTCTGAGAATGATATCGAGGAGATCACACGATGAACAGGAAGGACATATACCAGAGTGCAGAGTGAAAGAGTTAAGATGTCCTGCTGAAGCCGTACGTTCCACTTGGAACCTAAGAGAATAATAATAGCTTGAAAATCCCTATTGAGTCATATGGAAAAGAGATGTTCAGCGAAGAGACTCTTTTCGGCGAATTCACTCACATAGCTGTACAATCGAATTTATATATAATTACTATTTGTGTGTGTGTGTGTACATGAGGTTTGTCAAGTTTAGATAATTGATCAGGTAATACAAGAATTATCTAATATAGAAACAAGGCTAATTAGACAGCAACTAAAGGAAGATTGAGTTAGTAAGTTAGATGGCAATATATAATTGACTGAAATGTTTCAACTCAGGTCAGGGTAGCAACAGAGGTAATTACAGGTAGAGACTAAGTAGAAGTGGGATAGATAATAATGCCACTTAAATTAGAACTGAAATTGAGCAAATAAATTGGATGAGGTAACATAAATGACTAGAAATTGAGCGTTGGTCAAGCCAGTAACAGTGGTAGTGAGGTGTGGAAATTAAATCGGGTGGGGGTAGATAGTAAAAAAGTTGAAAATGCAAAATATTACAATTTGAGAAGACAAAATAATGCTAATGAAGACTCAGACAAAAAAAAGATTAGGTAGAATTTACTTGTCGGGTAATCAGATAGATTACGTCCATTGAAAGTGTAGTGATTGAACGAACTTCTTCTGTATGCAGAGTTCAGGACTTAGCAAGTGAATCGCCATTGCTTCTGCAGTTTGTAGAAGTCTGATTCGTACACCTTTAGGAAGACTACTTCGTATTCTATAGACGACTTTGAAGTTCGTTTGGGGTGCAGCTTGGTGTCCGGAATCTATCAGATGTTCTAAGATGGAGCTGCGGGGGCATCGTTTCTCTCCTTTGTAAAACCATGTTGGTAAGTGTTCAGTGATACGTTTGGAAAGCGAACGCTGGGTACGGCTGACATACCTGGCTCTACACGAGCAGTTTATAAACAGAAGTGCCTCTAGTTGGGTAGTAGACAGTGTGATCTCCGAAAGATTGAATAAGTACTTTTCTGGATTGCTTGGGAACAGAGATTCAGTATTAATTGCAGGCTTTTGAGCAGATCTTATTTTTTTGCTCAATTTCAGTTTTAATTTAATGGCATTATTCTCTACCTCACCTCTACTTAGTCTCTACCTGTTATTACCTCTGTTACTACCCTGACCTAAGTTGAAACATTTTAGTCAATTATATTACGTCATCTAACTTACTAACTCAGTCTTACTTTAGATGCTGTCTAATCAACCTTGTTTCTATATTGGATCATTCTTGTTTTACCTGATCAGTTATCTAAATTTGACAAACCTCATGAATACACACACAGAAATAATAATTATTTATAAATTCGATTGTACAGCTATGTGAATGAATTCGCCGTAAATAATAATAATAATTCGCCTTATTTCAAAACAGTACTTGTGATACAGAATGGAATTCTCAGCATTTCACTACAGTATTGCATCCAGTTGGTACATTAACAGTAAATATAGTTCTACATAGATTAAAGTTATCTCAGTCAGTTTTGACAACAACATATTAGCATGTCGGTAGCAAAGCCAAAATTAAATAGTGTTTGAAGGTGTTAGAAAAGTAGATACTACTAGCATATTTACTGACGTAAGCGATACCAAAATGGTCGAGACCTACAGACTATAAAAGAAAGAAGAAGAATGTATTAAGTACAGTTTGTAAGGAAGAAAGAAACAAAGCAGCACATAACAGAGAAAACAGAGAGAGAAGAAGAAAAGAGAGAAAGAGAACGTTGTACCTATACATGACATGAGTTGGAAAGACGAGATCCAGTTGTTCTACTGACTATTTAATAGGTTATATGTATCACGCCTAATGCTTTCTTTATCGCACAGAACTCGAGATAGGTAGGGTATGGATGAGTTTTTGTACTTGCTAGTGCGGGCATATAGTTTCCTATATAGGCTTCTGGTTCTGCCTGATGAGATACAGGGGGAGAGTTGTGAATGAAGAGGGTGGTTTGAGTTAGATAAAATGTATTTAGCCCATTTTACACATGAGTCCAAGTGCCTGTCGACCAGAATATTAACAAGCTGGTTAAGGGGCACGTTGCTTATCCTGCTGACAACCTTTAACATCCTACGTAATAAGGTATAGTCTTTCTTCAGTAACCCAGGAAAAACTAAGGGGGAACAATAGAGAATAATAGGCAGAATGCGAGAGTTAACGAATCGTAGAAGTAAGGGTTGGTTTACACCAGAATGTCTTAACTTCTTGATGTAGAGGGTAAGACGGAATATTTCCTTAGAAAGGAAAGATCAGCAGATAGAATGACGCCTAGGTTTTTGATTTCTGACTTGATTTCTATTTCAGTCCCATCAATGTTGCACACCTCGTGAAAGATAACCAGTTTTCTGAGGTCAGATTTGTGCTTGAAGGTGAAATTAACTGTTTGGCATTTGGAGGGGTTTAAGGTGAGACCGTTTTCCTTGGACCATTGGCTAATTTCTGATAAAAAGCCATTTAGTTTAGAGCAGTCCCTCTGACATTTGACAGGCAAAGATTCAGTCAGGTCGTCAGCATATTTGACAAAATTAATGTCATTTGAAGATGGTAGGTCATGTAGAAAGAAAGAAAAGAGAGGTGGGGAGAGTACAGCACCTTGGGTGACACCAGCTTCAGTGAGCACAGCAGAGGAGGATTTACCTTTGTATACGGTGTACTGCATTCTGTTTTGAGAATAATAATAATAATAATAATAATAATAATAATAATAATAGGGATACCACTTGATGCTTTAAACAAAGGTATGTCGACTGAGATTTCAAAACGCCCCACCCACTGGTTAGAAAAGTCGATTGTACTAAAACTAATGAGAAGCATATCCACACACACATCATATAAATATATAAAAATTTACCGAATTCCTTGTACCCCATAAAATACGAACAGGTCCAAGGATAGGACGAGAAATATCCTTTACATTTTGACTAGTTGTTCTGAATAAAATTCCTGTCTGTTCACATGACCATGCAGGCGTCTTGAATTCAGTCAGTTTAGGAGAGAGTGAATCAATTTGACAATCTCCTTGATATATGCACTTCAAACAATTGGCAAGCATCACTTCAGGTCCGTATACTTGAAAACAATGCAGATAACTCTGATCAAATAGTAGACAACCACTGGAAGAAAAAACAAACAAAAGAAACACACAGGGAGATAAAAAATTGATTGTGGATCAAAGAATAACCAATATCATCTGTCTTTAGACCTTATTACCTACCGATTCAGAGTCTTGACTGTCGACATCTCTCAGTAAAGCATACTTCGCTATCAGCCTACGAATAAACATTTGTCCTGGAACAAATTATTCAACCAACCAGCAAGTGAAAGACAAGCTGTTGCATTGGGCCAGAAGGTCCTGGGTGCGTACTCCTGAAGAGTCCCAAACTAGGACGAAACGGCTGTCCAGTACTCCCAGGTTTTCCAATAATTCTCTAACTAATGTCAGCTCATGATGAAATTCTGCATTTACCAGTCCACTTGCTCATGTGGAGCAGAATACATTGGCTGTACCATGCATCCGCTTATAAAATGTGCTCGGAAACACTATCCAGAATGGCTGGTTAGCTAAGAGAGAACGCCAAGGTGTATATAATTTTGTTACAAGACATCTTGTGAACTGAAGACATTCAGCTCCATTTGAAAAGTTTTCGAAGTCATATACAACAGCCCATCAGACTTCTCAAAGGGAGTGAAATCAAGACATCTGGCTGCGCATAGCTGAGACCACTAGCAATTCAAAAGTTAAAGCCTAATCTATGTATTCAGAATAAATTAATATTAACATTGTATCAATAGAAGACAAGGGCCAGTCAACAGATCATTTATTAAGGAAATCAACACTTATTTAAAGATTTTCATGTACCTATTATAGGTTATTGTTAGCAGAAGGACACAGTCTTCTGGTTGCTTGTTTCTCACAGAAAGTTGACCTTGCATCTCTTTGTGGCTGTTTCTTGAATGTCAAATCATCTACATGTTAACTGTATCCGCCTACGCAAAGCCTTTGTTCTCATTTATCTCACGACCAATATTGGGGACATAAACATTGACGTAAATTACTGTCCACCAATTTTGGCTAACAGCCAGATCTCACCACAACATTATTGTTTCCTTTAATTCCTAGAGGAACATAAGGCTTCAGCTGCACGTCTCCATCGCGTTCGGCGCGGTTCTCTGCCAACATTTTTACCTGGCTACATGGCAGCTCACATGCTTTCATCTTCTCTTCACATGACCTACTCCATGTCACTCTCTCACTGACGGCCAACTGACTCGCCGCTTCCCTTTCGGGTTCCACTCGAGCGATGGACTAGCGTGTGATGTCACTCACTTGATGGTTATCCCAGAGTATGGCCAATACACCTCCATTTATTCCTACATATTTCTTACATAACTGGTTCCTACTGGGTTGGTTCGCTTCCAGAGAATCCTGTAGCCGATCTTTGCTGGTCATCTCATCTTGAGTATTGAACGAAGACAGCTGTTGATTAAGGTTTGTAGTTTGCTCCGTGTCATTCATGATGCGCCAGGTTTGTAATCCAAATATTAGCACTGACTTCACACTGAAGTTGAAAATCCGGATCTTGTATTTCATACTGAGTGCTGTTGATCTCCACACAGACTTGAGAGAAATGAAAGCTTGCCTTGCTTTCTCGATCCTCGCTTTGGCATGGTCATCAGTTCCGTTCCCCTGTTGTAGTTGAAACAATGCTTCCCATGTAAGTAAAGGAGGTTGCTTCCTTCAGATTTCTCCCATTTATGCAGAATAAATATGTCCCTGTTATTGTTTTCCTTACCACAGTCATCATTTAAATTCAGTCCTATCAGTAGTGCTTATCCCAGTGCCTTTCTTATCCAACCTTCTCGTTTATTTCTGTTATTCCTACATTTTTCATTCTTTTCTTCATTACTGGATTTGGTTGCTGTTTTTCTAAAATATTTTTATATGTCCGAACTTCCTGCCTGTTTTGTTAATACTACGTCCTTAATCCGTAATTATACAAACTGACGAGTGTTCCAGTAATTAAAGTCTTATTATTATGTCTTTCCTAGCTGATCAGCCTGATTATTAAACTTAGTAATTCTATTAACTTTACCTTTGACTGGAAATAATTCTGGAAATTTCTAACCTATTTTATACAAATACACGAATGTACAGCCGCCTAGATGATGACTTCGTCGGTATGACAATTGAATTCTATGCAGCTGTCTTTTTAATAATGCCTACAGACTTATATTAAGATATGTATAAATTATGGACACTGTGGTAGTATGTAATTCCTGATTAATTTATTTTATTATTATAATGGCTCCCTTGGGTTCCTAGTGGAACATAGGGCTTCAATTGCACGTCTCCTCTTGCTTCTGTCCTCTGCTGTACTTTTCACCTGCATCCATGTTAGTCCATACTGTTTCAACTCCTCAACTCTTCACACGATCTCCTCCATGTCACCCTTGCACTGACGTCCCACTCGCCGCTTCCCTTTCGGGTTCCACTCGAGGGCTTGACGCGCGATGTCACCCAGCGGTCTCCTCAGCGAGTGTCCGATCCATCTCCACTTTCTCCTGCATATTTTATTTATTTATTTTAATATTTATTATTAATATTAATTTATTATTATTAATTAATATTAATTTATTTTAATATAGCAAAAATATTCATTCAGACATCTATAAAACACAAAATAATTGCGCAAAAAATATCCTTTTCGATAAATTCCTCTTCTGGCTCTACAATTATACATGTGTCTATATACATAGAATATTAGTCAATAACAATATTGGTATGCTTTTTAAATACTATCGATTTGTAAAGTGAGATCAATGGAATTATCACAGTTCATTAAAGATGCTTAAATTATAATAATAATAAAGATATAATAGCAAATAGAATATCAACTAAAATTAGGAAAATTCCACAAAAATTCAGAATCATTCAAATCTAGTTGGCCAAGGTAAGGATAATGTCTGAACTATATAGACAAATCGACGGTGTGGCAATGGGGTTACCACTAGGACTCACTCTAGCCGACATTTTCCTTGCGAAACAAAAAAAATGGGCCTTTGAAGGATGTTATTAATGAACTCGAATTCTATTGTCCGTACAAGGATGATACATTTTTGATTATGAAAAATGAGAAGGAAGCAAACAGCATCCTGGATAAATTTAACGAGGTTCATCCTGCAATTAATTTTACTATTGAGAAAGAAAAAGACTCTAGGATTTCATTTCTAGACATCCTTATGACCAGAAAAGAGGATGGCACATTAAAGAAGAAGTGTATACAGAAAATCTACGTCAACAGGTCAGTATACTCGTTTTCTTAGCTTCGTGTCCTTGAAGTACAAACGCAATCTGATAAAGTGCTTGGTTCACAGAGCAAGAGCAATTTGCACGGATGAATGTTTTGATGCGGAACTTAATAATATTAAACGGTTGCTAAGTGAAAATGGCTATCCAGAAATGTTTATTGATAAGAATATGAATCTAAAATCAAAGCACCCCAAGATATCAACAGTTCTAAAAAAGGCCTCATTCTTAGAAATGCAGTAAAAAGAGCATTCGCTGCTGCCGAATTACGCTGTCTTCAAAACCTCTCCTCTTTTACGTTCTGGAATAAAAGATAAACTGCCTAATTTCGCCTCTTCCATGTGTATCTACCAATTTAACTGCTCCTGTGGCGCCAGTTACATATGCCGCACAATTAGGCGTGTTTCTCGTCGAATTTCCGAACATCACCCTGTGTGGTTAAGCAAAGGACAAACCAGATCTATTCGCAGCGCTATTCTATCTCATCTTGTGGATTCAGACAGAACACAAGATTGACGTTAACCATGCTTTCAGGCTCATTTACCGCATACCAACAAATCCCAATTTAGCCTTCAGAGTGCGACTGCTAAGTATTGCTGAGCCTGTTGGGATCCATATTAAGCCTAATTTGTGCATCCAAAAGAAGTTAGTTCAGACATTATCCTTACCTTGGCCATCTAGGTTGGAATGATCCTGAAATTTTGTGGAATTTTCCTAATTTTAGTTGATATTCTAATTGCTACTACATCTTTATTATTATTATTATTACTATCATTATAATTTAGGCATCTTCAATGAACTGTGGTAATTCCATTGATCTCACTTAACAAATCGATATTATTTAAAACACACTAATATTGTTATGCACTACTAATCTAGAATATTCTACGTATATAAACGCACAAGTATAATTGTAGAGCCAGGAGAGGAATTTATCGAAAAGAATATTCTTTGCTCAATCATTTTATGTTTTTATTTTTTCAGATACACCACAGACAGTCAGTGAAATAACAGTATTTTGCTGGATGACGAAATTTCGAACACAATTTATTTATTGTTCATAGTCATAGTAACAATTATAATCACACAACTTCGAAACTTGAGTTTTATAGTTTTCTGTATGTTTCCCCTATTTGTCATCATAGGGTTAGTAGAATTTTCCGGATGTCCAACTGGACAGGTATGGCATCATTCCTACTACACGTATTTTAACTGATTCGATAAGAAAAGCTTCTGTTGTCAATGTCATCCTCCGGACACTGTTATATTAGATTTTAAAACTATCATCTTATTCTATCCTATTGTATGGTTGTGTGTAACTGCATGTAGTGAGTGTTATATAGCTGAACTATTCTCTAGATTTCTTATCTTAGTGTCAGATCAACTAATCTACATTTTACTAGGATTTTGTGCTCTGCTAACCTGACTGCACCTGTTTTTCCACTTTGACCTATGTATCTGACCTGACAATCATTGCAGGCAGGGTATTAGTTAGATAAGCTTAAATTGTTTTGTTCTATTGGCTCCACTGACTGACTCCTTTCAAAAATAGAACTTTGCAAAAATCTGCAGCAGTCAGAATCACTACACACTTCACTCAGCACACAAAGACATAGAAGAAAGTAAAAAGAAAAGCAAAACAGAGACCGTAAACAAAAGATATGAGGCGAAAAGCGTGGTAATATAGAAGAAGGAGAAGAACAGAATTTTATTTACTGAGAAGGATGTTCTCCCTTATCACCAATTGTCTTCACCCATTGGTTTTTACCATCCTGAAGACCCCAACCACTCAGGTAGTCTACACCTCCCTTTGTGGCTGACTGGCTTGAACTAACTGTTGTGGATTTCATTGACTGATGTTTGGTGTGACCACCACTACCTCTTTTCCAACCTGACGGTATGTCAGCTAACATTACCCATCGAGGGAGGCTCCAAAGGATCCATTAGTCGACAAAGTTAGTTTCTAATTGAGTTTGTGAGTGATTGAATGCCAGTTTTATTCCTGTTTGCATTAATAAGAATTCTCCCCAAGGTGGTCTCCGAATTTACTTCTTTGTTGTTGATATTTATGAATAATCTTCATCTAAACGTGTTAATGGGAACAAAACACAAAGTTCAGTAAAGAGGCCCATCTCGGCGAATTCATTTTCCCCTTTAGCTGTCTTTGATCATAGGTGTATGCTTTCTATCTCCCGTTCATATATGTGTAAAACTTGGGCACTGTGGTAGTAAATAATTCCATATTAGTTTGTTTATTATAACAAAATTTATTGTTCATAATCATATCAATTATAATCACATGACTTCGAAACTTCAGTTTTATAGTTTTCTTTGTCCTCTCCTATTTGTCGTCGTAGGGGTAGTAGAATCGTTTAAAACGTCATCCAGTAAACAATACCGTCTCACAATGTGATACATCTAATAAACAAACTGATATGGAATTCCATCTCCCATGTTTAATGGTGGTATAATAAGGTGAGCAATATTCCCGTTAGGCTTCGGTCGTCTGCTAGGTAGGTGTGTGAGGGGAAATCAGTCGACGAGGTTGTGAAGTTACACCGATTGAGACAGCTACGCCATGTGTTAAGCAGATCTTGCCATCGATCGCCTTCCTCGACAACGGGCAATGTTAGCTGACATAGGATCGATCGATCGGGTTGCAGAAGATCTAACTAGTAGTGGTCAAACCAAAACATGGCTTTATCAGTCAATGAAATCCACAAGCAGCAGCTGAGCTTTTCCCTAGATTATTTAACTTAGTAGGGTGAATCTTTCTGCGTCTAGCTACATTTTTTATGTTCCAGTCATCTAATTGACCCCAGCCTTCTAGTTTCAGCTATGTAACTGACCTCATTTATGATATTTGGTATATTATATTATTTTTCATGATTTGCTCTATTAGATCCTTAAGCCGACAAAGTTTATCTCTGAGAGAATTCGCTGTGTGGTTTAAATGCCACCCTAATTTCAGCCTCATTGAGAATTCTAGCTAGACCTAGAATAAACTGACCCTACTAAGGAAGTTGAATAACCTAGAAAAAAACTCAGCTATAGCTCTACATTAACTTGCATGTTATCACACAGAGAGAGGGTGGCATAGGATTAAAAAAAATATAAAAATTGCAAAAAAACAGGGAAGTTGGAAAGACAGAAAGGATATATATATATATATATGAGAAAAATTGTGAAACTGTGTGACTAAAATTGATATGATTATGAGGGCAAACTACCTCAACTTTATAGACTTTGAGAAGGCCTTCGACAGCGTTGACCGCGAAGTAATTTGGAAACTACTAGAGTGCAACGGCGGCGTACTCCAAATATTCATCAACCTTATTCAACAGCTGTACGACAACGGCACATGTCAAGTCATCCACAACGGAAAACTCTGCAAGGCGTTTGGAGTAAACACAGGAGTCAGACAAGGGTGCTTATAATCACTAATGAATGATATTCCTAATTGTGGTGGACTGACTGGATTATGCGTCAGACAGTGGGAAACGAGAAGAAAGGGATATCCTTTCTGGACCGACATGAAGAACCTAGAAGACCTGGATTTCGCGCGTGGATGATTTATGTTTGATGTCACACAAAATCGAAGACTTACAAGCGAAAATCGACAAACTGGTCGAAGAAGGAGCCGGCGAAAACAGGACTCCAAGTGAACATAGACAAGACGGAAGTTATGAAAATAACCAGCCAACAACAACAACAGCAACATCCAGCGCCAATCCCCATCAACGGGAGGGATATGAAAGAGGTTAGTTACTTCATTCACTTATATAGGGAGCATTGTCTCAACTACAGGAAGTTGGAACGCACGAGGATGTCAAATCGAGCGAGAATCGGGAAGGCGAGAAACACATTCATCAACCATCATCACAAACCAATCTGGAAATCGTCACTCAGCATCAACAACAATATTCGGTCGGGTTTTCAATACGAACGTCAAGTCAGTCAGTTCTTCTATACGGATGAGAAACTTGGCGGATCACAAAGAATATTTCCAACAGCTTGTTGCAGACCTTTATCAGCAACTGTCTTAGCTAGCTCTATACTGAAGATCAGACAGCCGGGCTGGAAAGAATCACCAACAAGAAACTATGGGAACAAACTAAACAAAGCAAGAACCAATCGCCAACCAACAAATATGCAGGAGGAAGTGGAGATGGATCGGACACTCGCTGAGGAGACCGCTGGGTGACATCGTGCGTCAAGCCCTCGAGTGGAACCCGAAAGGGAAGTGGCGAGTGGGACGTCAGTGCAAGGGTGACATGGAGGAGATCGTGTGAAGAGTTGAGGAGTTGAAACAGTATGGACTAACATGGATGCAGGTGAAAAGTACAGCAGAGGACAGAAGCAAGAGGAGACGTGCAGTTGAAGCCCTATGTTCCACTAGGAACCCAAGGGAACAATAATAATAATAATGAGTGGCAATAATTTATGCTCGAAATACCATCCGGTTATTAATACTATATGATATTTGAAATAACCTGTTATAACTCCGTTGCCAATTTGTTATAAATGAACTGAACTCAGCTGAATAGACCTATTGCCAGTTTGTTATGTCTGCGCCTGTTAATTAATTAATAACGGTAATCAACTCGACTGATACATTAATACGTCAATTTGTCCATCGTACCTTCCGATTCACTGAGCCACACGAATATCAAAAGAAAATAGGCTGGCTGGCCTGTGACTGTAAGATATTGTATTATAGTATACTATTACAGTCTAAGGCACAACACATGATATTAAGACATTTTCTTCACGATAATAAAGTCGGCTCGCGACCGTTGGAATGTATTGTTCTTACTGGCTGGAAATGTCTATTCTAATTGCTGTAGATCACACAAAGATCAAGGTGAGACAAAAAAATAAATGAATTGATCTCACACACTAAATCACAATATGCATGTGAGATATGATACATTCACATTAGTAACTCCCTCAGACGATAAATAGCACAATCCGTAAGAAAGGATGATATGCTATTTTATGCTTGGTCCTCTCATAAACCTATCTCATATAGTATTACATTCTACTGCAGTGTGCACCAGCTGTGCATCGGTGGCACAGAGGTTAGGACTCTCGCTGACCATGTAAATGGTTCGAGGTTCGATCCCCTACCGACACATACACACACCTGATATCAATTGGTCGGCCTGCGAAATTTGGCCTACCGATATCACATGCTGGAAATTCCATACCCAAAAAATACTGTGTGGTTTCAAGCTATAATCAAAAATAAATAAAAATAAAAAAAAATAGAACACGACTATAACTACAGACATGTATCGTTTTCCAAAGCTTCTGCATCTTCAGTCTACAGAGTGAAGACATCAAAAGATTGACTGTTTTTGATCATAGACGTCTACGATCTCTTCCTCACGTTAGGTGGTTTAATAAGGTAAGTAATGTTGACGTTAGGCGTAAAGTGTTGGGCAAAGAGGGAAAATCAATCGACGAGGCTATAAAGTTACATAGATTGAGATGGCTAGGTCGGTCACGTGCTGTGCATGCCTAACCATCGCCTCGCCTCCCCCGACGGGCATTACTAGCTGATATAGATGCAGGTTGGAAAAAAGTAAGTGGTGGCCAAACAAAAACATGGCCTCATCAATCCATGAAATCATCGACAGTTAAACTGAGTCGGGTAGGGAGATGCAGACTCCCGGGTTGGGGCCCTCGGGACTCTAGGAATCAATGGCTGGAGACAATAGGTGACATGGCTCAAAATCGTTGTCAATGGCCAGCGCAGATGTATTCAGTCTCTGTAATCTTTCATATTTCTTTCTACCATTACCCATTCTGTTTCACTCTTATACTTGTCAAACTCTATTGATTCTCTTCACTCATCTTCTTGTCTACCTTTGTGTGGTATTTGGAACATGGCAACTGGAACTGCTGCACTTCGGTGCCAAGTTCTATATTGAATCCAGACAGACAGACAGTCTACAGAGTCACAATTTCATGATTCTATTAGCATAGTAAAATAGTAAGTGAAAAAACAAAACTTAAAATATCACTCACTTATGCGATGCTTTATGGCATAATTTAAAAATTTTATTTGTTGGTGCCCATGGTAAACGCCAACCCCATTTTGTAATCATATGAAATCTTTTAGCATGCCATATATGTGTTGGTAACCAGAGAGATTTGGATTTTTCTACGACACCAGGACAACTCTGATGTGTACTTGCTGTCGCCACTGTTGTTGTTGTTGTTGTTAGACGTGTGTGTAAAGCTAGAAGGCGTAATTTTCTGCGACGATAACGTCGTGATTTTAGCTTTTGTTTCAACTTCAACGACAGGTGGCCAAGCAGGCAGGCAGTAAAATAGGAAACAGAGGCGAGGAGTAAAAGAAACAATATCAGTTAGACAATTATAACAGATTCAAATCGAACAGCCGCCCTTTTTTAAATTGGAAACTAGTTAGCAACGAGTATCCTTCGTATAGTCTTTTTGTCTAGTGCGGACTGAATTCTATCAGTCAGTCAAGTTTACAATGTGGCCGCCACCACCATGCTACTAGGTAGTTCAACATCGTGACGTACTCTGAATTCTTGTTATTAGATGGTTGAAGGCAATCGACTATAGGAAGCCTTGCTTGTACCTTACGTTTCGTGCTTGTTGGCATTCACCGGTCAGCAAGGTGTAACTGAAGTTTTTAGGGAACTCATGAATCTTTTCTGAGATTCGAACCCACATCAATCACTAATGCAGTCAGACACGTCACCATTGAGCTATTTGGGCTCGCGATGGACATCCTGTAGGGCTGTATTAGATACTTTTAATTGGACACAAACTAGTGACGTACATCTAGTCTTTTGTTTGCAGAACTGTCATGGAGAGCCACCTAGCACGGTGATCACATGGAAAAGTTGACTGCATCAAACAAAGGACTAGATCAATGATACCGGTTACTAACGGTATATACAGGACACCTCCATATTCATACTTTTTCGATCTTTCTAGAAGTCTATCCTCCAAACAGTAATATCAAAAACAACATACACATAACGGTGTATAGCATCCACAAGCACACCTGGACAATACAGAGCCACCTAATTGGTTGCTCTAGGTCATTTATCTGTTCGCTAGGTAGTTTCGGTTTGGGCTGCTATGGTTTAGAGTCACCGAAAGCTTACCTAACAAAGGCATCTAGGTATAAAGTCAAAGACACATTTGATCCCGTTGTCTAAGGAGGAAACCATACTATGATGATGTAGGGCAGCAACACCATCCAGTGAGAAGTCGTGACCAGTAGGGTTCAGCAGGTCGGGTGTAAGGACAAATACTAACCGAAGGCATTAGCTAGCGGTTGCGCTATATCGTGAATTGGCAGGAGTTGGAGTTCATGGGCCATTAGATCGGGTCCCAGTAGCTTAATGGTATACGAGCTCGCCTTGTAACCACGAGATCCTGGGTCCGAGCCCCGGTTGAAACGTACTGCTGAAGAGTCCCAAGCTAGGACGGAGGAAACAGCTGTCCAGTACTCCCAGCAGGTTTTCCAATGGTTCTCTAACCAATGTCATCTCACGCTGAAGTTCTGTAACCAATCAACCAAATCCCTACAAACCAATACTTGAGCATCTAAAGTACTTTAGTCCTGTTATAAAGCAAATTGTTTAGGGTAATTAAAATTTTTCAAGGAAAGTTTGAAAAAAAAGGAATCACATACCTCAGAATGAGATCCATTCTTATTCTTCACATTATTATTAGTAGTAGAAGTATTCTTATTATCATTACTATTATTATTATTATTATTATTATTCGTTTTCGATAGATGATGATGTTTATGAAAACGCCGAGGTAGTCTATTAATCCGATGACTCGCAGCACGTCTACGCAACCGAATTGGAAGACGTTGAAGTCCTGTCAAAGCAGAAGCTGTAAGAACATCAACACTGGACTCGAATGCTGCTAACTCGGCTGCACGAACTGTTGCTAAACGCAGAACATCGAAACAAGCAAATTGTGAGTAAACTGTATCCGGTATATCATTCACTGAATCAGAATTCATAGTTTAAAGTCTAATTGTAATAACTAAAAATAACAAAAAAGAAGAAGAAAATAAATCAAGGAGTACAAAAAACTACTGAAATGCAAACAAAAGTAGTTCATAAACGTACACATTTAAAAATGAATTATTTTTATTTTAATTCTGATTTCCCCATTGCTTGATCGATGGATTGAATCGAAATGTCTGGCATCAGTTTACATGTCCGCTTTCTAGTACAGACGCTTCAACGACATCTGATAACTACCTTCAACTAATTCCAGGAAGCGCATTTAGGTCTGTTGGGGACTCGTCAACTAGCTGGGCGTACCTTTAGTCCCCAGTGAGTAGTGTTGTTCCCGCTAAGACTCTAACCTGGTATCTTTCGTCTCAAATACCACTAGACTATATAGGTCAGGTATATAAAGCTGACGAGTCCCAAATAGGCTGAAGTGTACATCCTGGAACCCCCCTCGCACTACCAATCACAATTCACCGAATTACTTCGAGTGAATCATCAAACAGTGTCGAAGCGTCCGTACTATGGGATGATGTGTCAACCAAGGCTGAACATTTCGGTCCAATCATTGAACAGGCCAATAAGAAACTGAAATGCTTGCCTGTTGTACAAGACGTGGCACTTCCTGGCCAAAGTGGTTTAGTGGATAACACGTTTTGATGTTAAGAACTATGGGTACTGAGTACTCATGAGTACTCGTTGAGAAAACCATCATTCATTGGAGGATGCAGGTACATCCAGGCGACGATACGTAGATTGAGTGAAATGCACATCCTGGATCCGAGTGAACTAGTCACTATTCAGCCAATTCCTTCAAAGGATGAAAATATCAAAAAAACTTTTTATGTGAACACTGTACATTGAGTTTTAGCTTTCTAAGAAGTAAAAACGAGTCATCTTCACATATAATGTTAGGATTAAACTTATATTAGCCTTTAGAAAAGCTTAGATGTCTACCGAATCCCAGATTGCCTCAATAAACGACTTGGTACGGCAAAAGATAGATGGACTTCAGCCAAGAGTTCAAGGCCCTTGTCAAGTAAGTTCTATTCACAGTCCGGCTGTTCCACACGAAGGTCTCGCGCTAACAGTGGCGATAGGCACTTACATCTGTCCAGGAGAGCTTCGAAAACCCTGATTTCAAGCCTATCAAGTACATGGGCTCAAGAATCCAAAAGGATTAAATGACGTATAGAACCATAGGAACTTAGCCCTTGACGCTGCTCCACTGCCTTATACACCAGACTTTAAGTCAAAGGCTTGAGGGTGAGGTTGGCTTATTAAGATGATCCGCTGCTTCACTCTGGGTATCCAGGTAGTATCCTAGTCCAACGAAGAAACTATGTGAATTTCAGATTTAAATTGAGAAGACATAAGTCGGTCGGCAAAGAATAATCCTAATTTTGTCAATTACAGACATTGGGTACTCCAACATGGGTGCTTCAGAATGGCTCACAAAAGCCCCCTCCCCTAATGATGCACAAATGGGTATAAAATCAATGTTTAATGAGGACATCTACCTCAACCTCTATGCTATAAAGGTCAAATACAAGCACTCATTGGCCTGGTCATGACGAGGGCTTTTAATTATCAATTTCAGATTCTGAATATAAGCATCACAGTCAGATAGATCTACCAACCAATAATAGTTGGTTGGTCAATACTGAAGAATTGTCAAGAAACTAGTTCAAAGACAGATGTACAGCTGGATTTATTCACTTCAACAGTAAAATAAAACTACTGAAGTACACTGGTGATGATAATAATAATAATAGATTGTATAACAATATTCGAATAGCTTTCTTATTTCAATTCACTATGTAATTGCAGTAACACGTGTCCATCACATTAATTACACGTGAAATAACAGAAATTGAAAGGTAATAAGAATAAACACTGGTTTGGCATCATGTTCACCAAGAAAGAGTTTAAATAACTATTCAGAATTTTTTCAATTTTAAAGGTTTAATATTTCTTGCAGGGATTTAATTGATTATAAGATTTCGTAATCGACTGACATCAGTTAAACAACCAATGGAAAGCCTCGGGGTACTGGACAGCTTTTTCCTACGCCCTAGTTTGCGACTCTTCACCTATACGCACCCGCCAAGGCGGCTGGAACTAAGGAGCTTCTGGTTAAAAGGTGGCGCCCTCGTAGACCATTTAGCCACTGAGACCCGATTCAATAGTCAGCTCAAAAATTCCAACTTCTGCCAATTCACGACATAGCACGCAATGTCCTCTTCAATGTGTTACTGCCTCACTTTCAACCTGCTGCACCTTATTGGTCGCGGCTTCCAAAGAGAACCCCAGGTTAACTGCCTGAATATGGTCAGTCGTTAGTGAGCATCAGATTAATTTTCAAGTTCTGGTTTTGTAGGGAATTTTGTTTGATTGGTTGAAGGATTTTATCATGAGTGCGTATTGCTGAAGAATCCCAAAGTAGGACGAAGCAGCTTTCCAGTACTCCCAGGTCTTCCAATAGTTCTGTAACCAATGTCAGCTCATGATGAAATCCTCCAACCTATCAAGCAAAATCCCTACAAAATCAATACTTGAAGACAATCGATAAGGCCGATTAAAATCAACACTGGTAAATGCGTTATTGAAAAAGTCTTACGTAATATAAGAAGTAATCTAGAAGGAAATGAACATATGTGGATAACGAAGTAGAAGTTCGCATTACATAAGGAATCAAGTATATAAACCTATCCTTAGCTAGAGACGAAAGGAAGAATGTAAATAATGCCACATATCCTACAACATCTTGTCAACTCTGAACAGCAGACACCCTTCTGTATGACTGTCTGCCCGTGCAGCAGTTCAAGTCGCCACACTCCATGTAGCATACAAAGCAACAGAAGAAAGTAAAAAGAAATGCATAATAGAGACAGTAAACAGAGGTGTGAGATAAAAGAACAGTACTAACGAAGAACGATATAGTTCCATTGGAAATCACAAGGAGTGGATGCATCTGCGGCGTAAACTGGCAAATGCGAAACGAGCCCCCTATATCCGTGCTGAGAGATCAACCCGTTGGGACTGCCTGATGGTACTTCTCAAGTAAGTGAAGCGGTCAACGTGCTTTACCAATACACTTCCTATTTCTAATCTAGGAGTCGGTGTAGTCCAGTCCTGTAACATCATTATATATGACTGATTCCAATTGACTTTATAGTATCTTATTATTGCACAAGATATCTTCAAATCACTGGCTACGTAAAGTCTCGAACCCAGACCTGGGAACTCAAAAGTAAGTAATACATACATGCACTCATTTGATTTATGATGACCAAGATAACATTTTCGCCATAAATTTTGTTACATTTCAATGTTTCATATTTGCTTTATTATTATTATTATAAATATTGTCTTATTATCATAATGACTATTTTGAAGCCAATTTAATGATGATAACTAGCAGTGGAGTCCAGTTGACGAGTCCCAAAAGAGGACGAAATGCACATCCTGGTAGATTCCAGTGCCTAGTCACCATCAACAAACTGACTTCAAGTTACATGACTAGATATCGTTGAAGCATCTGCACAAAGAGCTGACATGTCAGCTTGAGATCAAGCATTCTGTGTCCAATCAATGGATGGAAAAATCTAAATTGAATTATCAAATGATCAGAATTGTTAATTAATGACATTGTATTTCTGATGCAGATATGATTTAAATATCTCATATTTTCGAGTATTCTTTTTTCTATCATGATAGATTAGGTTATTTTCAAGCTTGTGATATTACACAAACATCCACTTTTTAACCAATACTTGGGCATTCATTAGTTTTTAGTTTACACCTGACACAGTAATTCATTATAGATAAGATTTTTTGATCACAGCTTGATTTCACACTGTATTTTTGGTATAAGTATGGAATTTTTAGCATGGATATAGGTAGCCCAAATTTTGCAGGCCGACCATAGATATCAGGTGTGCGCCGACAGGGGGGATCGAACCTTGGACCATGTGCATGGTCGGCGAGAGTCCTAACCACTGTTCCACCGACGCACAGTGGCACAGTTACACAGTGTTTTACAGTAATATTAACTGATGACGATATTTCGAGCACAAACTATTGCTCATAATCATATCAAGTTACTCACACAACTTTTTTTTAATATTTATATACATGTGTAGAATGGACCAGATATTTGAATAAAAATCAATATGAGATAATGTACATTCAGAAATAATAATATGAGTGTTAATGATCAATTACAATCAGATCGGAATAAATCAGAGGAGGATAATAAATAATCTTAAATTGTATTCTATTTCAATTCACATACATCATAACATTCTAACAAGTTACTTATTTTGACTATAAAAACATTCGTCTTATTTCCCATCCGATTGTATTTGATCAATACCACTCATATTATTATTATTTCTGAATGTACATTATCCTATATTGATTTTTATTCAAATGTCTAGTGAATTCCCCACATGTATATGGAATGAAGGAAAAAGCTGTATGAGTAACTTGATATTATTATGAGCAGTAATAATTTGTGCTCGAAACGTCGTCATCCGTAAATATTACTGTATAACAGTACACTGTGTGATTTATCAAAATAAAATCTTATCTATAATGGAGTTACACTCCTACCACAGTGTCCTAGTTTTATTCTTATAACATAGTAATGCACTTACTACAACAATAATTACTAGTATTTATTAGGTCGCAGAGTAATGGATGATTGTTTCGTCTTACTTCAAAACTACTCAAAACATCAAGACGCATCTATGAACCCCATCGAGGATCGAACTCATGGGTACACACAAGGCAAGCTTGTAGACCACTCAGCTACTGGAACAACAGGTAATGGCCCATGAATTTTATAAGAAGCAACGTCCAGACAAATAATCATCGGTAAGTATTTTTCCTCCCAGCAAACCATGATGGACATCACTGATTATGACTTCCCCAATGATTCATCTTAGGGTCATATATGCACTGACTGTTGAAGAGTGCCAAACAGAGATGAAACAGCTGTCCAGTACTTCATGCTGATTATCAAAAGTTGTCTAAATGAAATCAGTTCGTGAACAATCTTGTAATAACTTTTTAAAATAGTTTGTCAAAACAAAAATCGATCTCTGTTGTTGTATCTTCTTCTCTTTCTTAGCTAACATTTATTCGTGAAACAATTTAAAGCAGGCAAGCACGAGACGTTGAAAACTTTATTGAGTTAGTTTGTAGGGATTGATATCAATTAGAGAACCATTGGAAACCTTCAGGGAATACTACCAGACAGTTGTTTCATCCTACTTCAGGACTCTTCACCGGTACGCAGGTGCCACAAGGGGTTTGAGTCTACAACATTCTGATGAAAATGCAAGTTACCTCGTAGACCATTCAACCACTGAGACCTGATAAAATGGCACATGAATTCGTGATATTAGCACGACTAGCAGACAATATCTTCAGTGAGTATTTACCGTCACACCCAATGACGTTCTAGCGCAACATCGTGACCAGTGTGGTCCACCAGGTAGGGTGTTAGAGCAAACAAACACTGTTTTTATCATCTTCAATGACTTGAAATTTAGAAATTTATTATTTCCCGTAATTGTGTGTATTATTAGTAGTTTCTATCGGCAAGGCAGTTAAAGTGTTCAAAAAAAACACTTTGTGTTCCCCCACAGAATGAAACATGCACTAAGCGGATCAGGTAATTGGTTTACAGATAAACTGTAAATAATTATGGCATAGGGAGCCTATAAACACAGAGTCCCAAGTATACTAAAACTAATTACTAATTATGGAGCCAGAGGTAATTAACCGAAAGAAAGTGTCCATGAAATCTACCAAATTAACACCTGTTATTCTCCCACCCTCTGCATTACTTAAAACTAAATAAATTCCATGATTACAAGCAATAATTCGGTGTCAAGCTTCATCAGCTGGAGAAGCATTAAGAACAAAATAACTCTGGGGGGGGGCGGCAGTTTCGTCTTAGTCTGATACTCTCTTCAGTAGTAAGTGCCTTTAACCCCGACCAGGGATCAAGACCACAAGTTCTCCAGATTACAGGAAGCAAGCTATATATATATATATATTACAGTTTCAGTTCAACATAAAAACCAATTGACGTACAGATGATGACTGAATGACTAACTGGCAATTTCAACAAGTTGCCAAACACTACATGAATAACACAAACGTTGGGAGAAATGTTCCCAAGAAGTATAATGAGCAGGAAGGTACAAAAGAAACAATAATGGCTTAGGAAAACATGGCGAGTCAATAGATCTAGGATAGGTTACAAAGAGTGAATGCCTCCGGTCATTGGCTCATACTCTAACTAGGCAGACAGTCTACACCTCATTAAGTAGTAGTTGGCTTAAACCAATTAACTGTCAAAGATTTCATGAACTCCATTATGGGTAAATTTTGTTTTGATAAAGTCTCACAGTGTTATACAGTAATGTTTACTGATGCGACGACGTTTCGAGCACAATTGATTACCGCTCATAATCAATCATATCAAGGTACTACTCACACTACTTCCTAACTTCATTTATATAGTTCCATTATTTATCACTTAATTTTCACTTGATTTGATTGGCAGTAGTATTTTCCATACTTCAGATATGAGTGATGAGTCATTCCTATTGCATGTGTTTGGTGTAGACTCTATGAGCCAGGTCGGATTCAGTAATCAACGTCTCTCTCCACCCACATAGATTACTTCTTAGAATCCTAACTCTCTGCCACCCTATTGTGTGGTTGTGTGTTAATGCGTGCAGTGCAACTGCTGAGCTTTTTTCTGAATTACTTATCTTCGCGAGTGGGGTTAGCCATTCTTACCTTAGCCAAATCCTTATGTTCTGACAATTTGACTACCCCTGACCTACTAGTTTGACCTATGTAGTTGACCTCACAGTCATTGCAGGGTATTTTGTAAATAATATTATTTTGTCTAATTGGGTCAACTGGGTCCTTTAACCTACAGAGCTTGTTCCATTATGGGTAAATTTTTTCATCGAGTCTACACCAAACACATGCAATGGGAATGACTCATCACTCATACCTGAAATATGGAAAATACTACTGCCAATCAAATCAAGCAGAAATTAAGTGAAAAATAATGGAACTATATAAATGAAGTTAGGAAGTCATGTGAGTAATCTCTTGATATGATTATGAGCAATAAATTGTGCTCGAAACGTGGTCATCAGTAAACATTACTGTATAACACTGTGAGACTTTATCAAAACAAAATGTACCCATAATGGAATTATACTCTACCACAGTGCACAAGTTTTATTCTTATATCGATTTCATGAACACTGATTCCAAGTTTTGGTTTTACTACATATATATATATATACTTTCATCCCCTAATTCTTTGCCAGCCTCTTCCTATATCAGTTAACATTACTCATCAAGGAAGAAGAGTTGATTGACTCAGAATACGCGAACAGATATGTTAAAAAACAGCATTCAATTCAACCCCCACAAAAATTTCTGAACACCAATGAACTAATAACCAATTGAATACAATCCTGTAGCCAATCAAATCCCTACAGCAAACCAAACTCTGTTAATTTCATCTGATCTGTGGTTCTACTGAGAAGTCTTAATCAATAAGATCCACTCTATCGGGCGGGAGTGAGAGCGAGCAAATACTCGCCACCGATGACACTGGATGACGGTTACGGTAGAAGCTGGCATTCAGAGAACTGACCATTGGATCAAGTCCCAAAATGATTGAATGACCTATCAATTCCACTTATCACCGAGAACTGCTAGCTTCGGAACCCTACCAGTGGGCAGGGCAGTGTCCACCACCAGAAGAGTCTCAAAACTAGGAGGAAACAGTTATCTGACGACAGTGATGATTCCTGCAACCAATGAGATCTCTGCAGCAAACCAACCAAACTTTGACAATACACTTCCATACATAATCAAAATTTCATCATCACACACATGATAAAAGTGACATATTGGAAATAAAAATCACACACACAGAGACCAATCGTAAAATATACATCACAAGCAAAGCGTAGCGAGGGGTGGGAAGCAGCGGATCCCAGGAGGAGTGTGGTGAGGAAAAACAATACTGATCAGTATTAACAAGAAATATTTTTATTTATTTAATTAATTATTTATTTTTTCAAATCTAATTATTACTTTCAACAAATACATACATAGACGTAGACGTACACATATGTGGGGTATGTGTGTATATACTACCGTCTATGCCAGTATTAACAGTAGTACACACTGAGTTAATAATACTAATAGAAAGCATTGAATCATACGACGAATAATAATAATGATAATAATAATATGAAGAGGAGAACAATAAATTCACGCAAAGAGTGAAGACAATCAGAGATAGACACACACACACACATGCACACACAGAGACAGACAGAAAGAGTGAAAGACAGATAAGGGAGGCAGAATGAAAGAGGATTAAACTCAACCAACTCATCACAATGACGCAATCGTAGTATAGCATTCAACATTTCTAAAAGAACAACTTTTCAGGAGGATGACAAGGAGGAAGGAGAAAAAAAAGAGGATAATGAAACAATATAGCAGTTTTTTGTCGATAAGATGGAGTAGATGCTTGGGAACGAACATGTAGAGGATGAATTCTTGTTGCTGGATATCAGAGAGACACACAGGGAAAAAAGGGAGAGGGCGAGAGAGAGAGAGAACATACATTATCATAGCCTAGCTGCTCTGAGAGCATAGTGAGCTTGTTATCATCCACAAGAATAGAACATATTGATGAATAACTATCCATTGAACTTAGAAGACATCTTTATTCACTAACATCATCAAGGTGCGTGTGTGTGAGAGTATGTTCATCATTTGCAATCACAGTCATATTTGAAAGATTGGAATATGAATAGGTATGTGTGTGTGTGGATGAGATGACAGTGTAACGATGTCGTAGCTGACTAATTCACTGACTGTCCGATGAATATAATAATAGTAATAATCAATTATATGAACTAAACCGTAGTGGGTTTTTATTTCACTGCCGTATTCTACTAATAGACAAACCTAGAGACGGTGTATGTATGACGTCGTAACAACAGAACACAACAACATAGCAGATACTGACAGTATTCATTGTGTTTCGTTTATCATATTTATTGATTCTCCCCACTCACTCACTCACTCACTCACCAGCGTCTTGTTCTAACTCCCAAGTAGACAACGATTGTCAGTCATCAAGAGCGTAATACAATCTCGGAATTAAGTGTCTATCCACCCCTCCCCCCACCCCTATTTCCATAAACATACACATACATGAATACTGAGAGTTCAAATTACTATGACAATTATTTAGCAGTAATTAATATACGTGTAATTTACATTTCGAAAGCGAATACGCGTGCGTATGTTGTATGTACACATTGGAAGGAAGAAAAAACTGGTGTATATTTGCGTGTGTAGGTGTGCAAAATTGTGAACACATAGGGGCGAACATGTCAGATATGTACGCCCGCACACATACACACACACACACACACAGTCACGCTTTTTACTAGGAAAAAAGGGAAAATGAGACGATAAACAGATAGAGACATACAGAGAGAGACAGAACAAGCAGAAAAACAAGAAAACATATTTTGTATAGCCATTCTTTGTTGAGTACACACACACACACAAACAGTACTGCTGCTACTAGTGTAATGAGAATATGCATGAAGAGAAGACAAAAACAAAGAGGAGTAGAGGAACAGTAGGCGGTTTATGACATTCCAAATCCTTTGCAATGGGTAATAGCAAGTAGCAGAGATTGCTTCAACTTTTCTAGACTCTGATATTCTGGTAGTAAAAGGATATTGAAACAGGTATGAGCGGATGGTAACCTGTAGGGATAGATAAAAAAAAAACATTAGTAATAATAATAAAAAGGAAAATAAGTAAAACACAAAGATAAGCTATGACAAATACTAAAAAATGTTCTTAAATGGTGGAATTCAGGAGACGCATTTCATCCTATTCACGACTCGTCAGTAAGGGAGTACTACTGATGTCTCCACTAAAAGCCGTAGCTCTTCCAATCCTACCAATCATTTCAAACACCAAAGTGTTAGCATCCACCAAACACCACTTTCCACTAAATAGCATTATGTTGATCCTGAGGTATAGTCAAAGCGTCCGTACTCAGACTGAATATATCTGACAATCAGCCACAATTATTGTGTAAACGTTAATTATACAACTAAGGCTTGACCAAGCCTTGCTGTGTGGAAAGGGATTTGCACTTGGGACACAAATGATTAAAAGTTGAGCACCTAGAACAATCAGCTACAGTTCCACTATTATATTGAACTCTGGATGAAGATGCCGTGAGGAAGAAAATTGATTATATATCGAAAACACTATATATCTAAGGAAATCCTACACATGTCCACATTTTTAAACAATCAGCTTCATCACAACGTCATGACAATCAGAGTTTACACTGACTTGAATACCCTTTCTTCAGTAGAACGACAATTATCATCCATTCACACTATGGAAATTCCCGCGACTAGAAAGTATTATCAGTACTCTAGCAAGATGTGGAGCTATAAGAGTAAATTCAAATGTTTTTTTTAGTCAAGCGTTGGTTTGTACGGATTTGATTAGTTTCAGGGTTTTATCATGAACTGACATCTGTTAGAGGATCATTGGAAACCTTGCAGGGAATACTGGACAGCTGTTTCGTCCCACTTGTTTGGGACTCTCCAGCAGTACGCACCCATTGAACCCAGAACCTTTTGGTTACAAGGAATTGGTCCATGAATTCCAACTTCTGTCGATTCATAATATGGTGGGACCACTAGCGAATGTCATTGGTGGCGAGTATTTGTCCTCACAACCCAACTTGCTGTAAACCACTGGTCACGAACTTCCTTTAATCGTATACGAGAAGAAAAATCGCTATTAAGAAAAAGAAATTGGATTTATTATTTCTGTGATCGCCTAATAATAATAATAATAATTTATTTTTACAATTTTTGATCACAAAGTAATTCGGAGACTACATAATTCAATACTGGGTAAGGTGTCTCAAATCTTTATCAACCACACTCATGAGCTGTACGACAATGCAATATGTCAAGTGATCCACAATGGAAAACTAAGTGAAGACTTCAAAGTTAGGAAAACAGGTAAGAGAATACTGTGTCAGCCTTTTGCAATTATTAGTTTTCTCAGAGCTGGTTGGTTTAGTTGCGCAGCTTTCGTCGTCCGCCTTTCTGGACAACATCTTCAGTCCAATATTTAGCATAAGGTGAAATGATTTAAATTTCTTCATGAGTAATATAATAACGTCTCCCGGTAACCATTTTAGATATGTATTGACCATTTTCTATTGACTTGGATTTCAAACTTCCTGGTCACATGATCTACTTTTTATTAGTTGGCATATTTCGTCTATATTAATGTGTTTGTTAATTGCATATTCGTTTGAGTACCAGGCTTCTAGGAATTCCCTGACTGCACTTTTGGTGTTTCCCCTGTCTAAGACTTCGACATTATCCCAGTTATCAAACTGATGTCCATAATTATCTATATGCGTTGATATGAAAGAATATATATCATGTCTTTTCACAGCTGATTTGTGTTCCTGGATTCTGGTTCGAAGGAGACGCCCACTCTGGCCGATGTAATGCCTGTTACAGTTTATACAATTTATTTTTAAATGATATTCATTTAATTTCATTCTTCTGTTGGATCTTTCGGTTTGCATAATATCGAATTAAGCGATTTGACTGGCTTGTGTGCTATATCTATTTCAAACGGTTTCAGTATTCTAACTGTTCTTTCAGAGATATTTCTCATGTATGGTAGGATGAATTTTCTTGTAGTCTTTGATGATGGTTCCTTGTTGGTGTTGTGATTCGATTTTAAACACTTTTTGATGAAATTCTGTGGATAACCATTCTTTTTGAAGACCGTTTGTAGGTATTTTTCTTCCATTCTTTTCAATTCTGGAGTGTCAGCCTATTATCACCCAACGATGGTATTTGTAATTGTGGAACACTGGATTATACTGCACAACACAAGTGGATAGGGAAAAGGGAGGAATCCACCGGATTGATAAAAAGACTCTACCGGATACCGACTTCAAGGAAAATTTATGTCTAACTGGAAGACTTACAAGCGGAAATCAACGAACTCGCAGAAGAGGCAATCAGCGAAGACAGGACTTCAAGTGAACATTGAGAAAACAGAGGTGATGAAAATAACCAACCAACCAATAACAATAACAAGGACTAATCACTATCAACGGAATAAGTTTAAAAAAGCCGTTTCCTTCACTAATCTAGGCAGCATATTTTGAACTACAGACGACAGCATAAATGAGGATGTCAAAACCAGAAGTGGAAAGGCAAGACACCTTCATCGTTCTGAAATCACTATGGAAATCCTCTGCCCTGTACAGCATTACCAATGGCATTCAGATTTTCAACACTAATGTTAAGGCAGTCACAGTTCTTCTATATCGATCAGGAACTTGGCACGCCCACACTGGTGTATTCATGCATCTACTGGCTTTAATGAAAGCCTTATGCATGCATTCCACCTATAGTTGAAACAATGACGCCGAGGTTAGTAAAAACGAAGTGAATTTCTTTCAAATTTATTCAGGTGATTAGATGATCTAGTGGATTATCTTCATCTCACCTGTGTCTTCGTTGTCTGTCTCAGACACCGACATGTGAATATGAAAACCATTTTGTCTTTTTTATTGAACATCATGAGAATTGTAGGCTCAGTGGGATGAGTAAGGTTTAAAAAAATAAAAATTCAGATATATATATATATCATTCTCTCCTACCTATTTGTATCAGCACCTTGACGGGCAATAGTGAATTTCATTTTAGACATTCCACCAACTGGGACACGATCAGAACCAGTGGAGAATTGTAATAACTGTTTCTGTTGTCCTTCAGTCATTGAGTGGACAACAGACCAAAAATTTTTAATCACAGGTGAATCCGCTGTATACTCTTCATACATGGTAACTCGTTCCAATTCTTTAAAATCATATACCTGTAAAAAATGATTCATTAAAAGGGGTTAGTTATTAATTAAGTGAAGGGGAATGCAAAATTCATGAGCAATCCCCCTATTCATCAGATGTGAATGAAAACAAAACATGTAATTTAGAAAAGAGACTGTTTCCGCTGACGAATTCATGTATGCCCCTCCCCCCACCTAGCTGTAAAATCGTATTTATATACCACTCATATATATATATATATATATATATATATATATATATAGAGAGAGAGAGAGAGGGTAGAAACAAAAATGATCAGTTGTTAGTTATTAGTAATTGTACAAAAGACGTTGAATAAGTACATCATTTAAAAAAAATTTTTTTCCTTCACATTCCCCCCAGTGGAACATGGGGCTTCAAGCTAGTGGCTTGAAGTTTCTGTAGCAGTGTTTATTTACTTTACAAGATGGCGTTGCTAGCCTCATGCCTAACCTTCCCTCTTTACAAACATTATTTCTGGCTCAGCGAAGTAAAGGAGTGAGTCCGTGGCCAGGGATCGAACCCTGGACCACGTGCATGATCGGCGAGCAACCTAACCGCTATACCACCGACGCATGAATAAGTACATCAGAGTTACGCAGTAATAACCTTAATAATTTAATGAATGAATTATGATCATGATGAACACAGTAACGGAAGAAAATATGGAATTATCTAAAAGTGAGTCATTAAGAAATACAGGAGTTCTAAGAAGTTAGAAGGGAAGAAGACTTAGTCTGCAATATCCATCCTTAAGAGAACAAATTCATCTTTTTTGTGAAGAACATTCTTTGCAGCCATGCTAAGAGAGTAGTGTTCTCCAGTCGTTCATTGGTCTGGGCATTATATTAAAGTATATTTACAGACTTTGGCAGCGATTAACCATTGTAATCTGTTTTCCTATCACTTGAAAAATAACCAATCCCGCCCAACCGTTTTCTGTTGTTTTGTGTCGGTCACAGTGTGTAGTTTTCTTCAAGTCTTCAAAGGCATTAGAACCACTTTTAGTAAATTGATTATGCTCTTTCACTCTTGCCTTTACCTACCTGTCTGGAAGTTTCTCCTACATATACTAGCAACGTCACAGTCCCCACAACTGATATGGTACACACATTTCTGTTGGTTTTCTTCTTCTATTTTATCCTTACTTAACCTTCAACCAGTGATGAGTGTTAAGTGTCCGTTTCATTGTACACTGCACATACAAATATGTATTTTTCACATTCAGTTATCTACAACCACGAACTTTAGTCAAATATAATCAGTTAAATTCTGGCGAAAAAGTACACACTGCTTACAGTGTTTGACAAAAGTAGACTAATAATATTTGTAAGTCTGAGGTCAAATTTTGATCACAGCTCATACAATTTTGTTTGTTTATTATACATGTTGATGCCTGTTTCATGACGCATATAACTCGACAAAGGTTTTAGAAACAAGAGGTGTCCTTTTCATACATAAACCTGTTATTTTTGAATTTCGATTAATTTTCCCGGCGAGGTTTGCAGCAGTTTGCCGAACGTAGGAAACGTTGGAATTAATCATTTCAATTTCGCGGAGATTTTTTACAAATGTCTACTTCTCACTCAGCGCCCAATGATATTTTAGAAATACTCTGTCAAATATTGACTACAGTTCATATGAAAGTAATTATACAAGTAAATAAATGAATATTTCATAAAAACAAGTGTATACTACTTACTGGACTACCACGAATAAGTAGTTCTAATTCATCTGGACGAAATAGAAATGTCAATGGACTTTCATCAACAACCATTTGAAATCCTCTACGGAATGCATTGAATTGTTTCCGAACAGATTCATTTAATAGGAAATTTGTATACAAATCGATATACTCCTTTTTTATTCATTGATTCATTGATTTATTTGAATTAAACACGGGGACAAAAAATAAATTAAGAAATAATGAATTATATAATTAAAACAACTTTCACATAAAAATAAACATGAAGGATACCTAATCGCTTTTATAGTCACTGTATGTCAGATACCTGGTTGTTAATACTGAGTTCAAACTCAATTCCATGAAAAAGTCTTTTATACTTCAGGCTATGAAGCACATTTATTGTATGCTACCAGGGGTGGGGGTAAGGCCGACAACATTACTCACTCGTCCAGGCTTAAGGAGAAGAAAAAGAAGAAGAATAGAGTCTGATTGGACATGACATATCACATAAAAGCGAATGCATCTACTGTAGACAAACTGAGAACGATTTTCAGCCAATCATATCCCCAATTGTGTGTCCAGCCTTCATTCGTTCTTACAGTACACTGTGTGATTTATCAAAATAAAATCTTATCTATAATGGAGTTACACTCCTACCACAGTGTCCTAGTTTTATTCTTATAACATAGTAATGCACTTACTACAACAATAATTACTAGTATTTATTAGGTCGCAGAGTAATGGATGATTGTTTCGTCTTACTTCAAAACTACTCAAAACATCAAGACGCATCTATGAACCCCATCGAGGATCGAACTCATGGGTACACACAAGGCAAGCTTGTAGACCACTCAGCTACTGGAACAACAGGTAATGGCCCATGAATTTTATAAGAAGCAACGTCCAGACAAATAATCATCGGTAAGTATTTTTCCTCCCAGCAAACCATGATGGACATCACTGATTATGACTTCCCCAATGATTCATCTTAGGGTCATATATGCACTGACTGTTGAAGAGTGCCAAACAGAGATGAAACAGCTGTCCAGTACTTCATGCTGATTATCAAAAGTTGTCTAAATGAAATCAGTTCGTGAACAATCTTGTAATAACTTTTTAAAATAGTTTGTCAAAACAAAAATCGATCTCTGTTGTTGTATCTTCTTCTCTTTCTTAGCTAACATTTATTCGTGAAACAATTTAAAGCAGGCAAGCACGAGACGTTGAAAACTTTATTGAGTTAGTTTGTAGGGATTGATATCAATTAGAGAACCATTGGAAACCTTCAGGGAATACTACCAGACAGTTGTTTCATCCTACTTCAGGACTCTTCACCGGTACGCAGGTGCCACAAGGGGTTTGAGTCTACAACATTCTGATGAAAATGCAAGTTACCTCGTAGACCATTCAACCACTGAGACCTGATAAAATGGCACATGAATTCGTGATATTAGCACGACTAGCAGACAATATCTTCAGTGAGTATTTACCGTCACACCCAATGACGTTCTAGCGCAACATCGTGACCAGTGTGGTCCACCAGGTAGGGTGTTAGAGCAAACAAACACTGTTTTTATCATCTTCAATGACTTGAAATTTAGAAATTTATTATTTCCCGTAATTGTGTGTATTATTAGTAGTTTCTATCGGCAAGGCAGTTAAAGTGTTCAAAAAAAACACTTTGTGTTCCCCCACAGAATGAAACATGCACTAAGCGGATCAGGTAATTGGTTTACAGATAAACTGTAAATAATTATGGCATAGGGAGCCTATAAACACAGAGTCCCAAGTATACTAAAACTAATTACTAATTATGGAGCCAGAGGTAATTAACCGAAAGAAAGTGTCCATGAAATCTACCAAATTAACACCTGTTATTCTCCCACCCTCTGCATTACTTAAAACTAAATAAATTCCATGATTACAAGCAATAATTCGGTGTCAAGCTTCATCAGCTGGAGAAGCATTAAGAACAAAATAACTCTGGGGGGGGGCGGCAGTTTCATCTTAGTCTGATACTCTCTTCAGTAGTAAGTGCCTTTAACCCCGACCAGGGATCAAGACCACAAGTTCTCCAGATTACAGGAAGCAAGCTATATATATATATATATATTACAGTTTCAGTTCAACATAAAAACCAATTGACGTACAGATGATGACTGAATGACTAACTGGCAATTTCAACAAGTTGCCAAACACTACATGAATAACACAAACGTTGGGAGAAATGTTCCCAAGAAGTATAATGAGCAGGAAGGTACAAAAGAAACAATAATGGCTTAGGAAAACATGGCGAGTCAATAGATCTAGGATAGGTTACAAAGAGTGAATGCCTCCGGTCATTGGCTCATACTCTAACTAGGCAGACAGTCTACACCTCATTAAGTAGTAGTTGGCTTAAACCAATTAACTGTCAAAGATTTCATGAACTCCATTATGGGTAAATTTTGTTTTGATAAAGTCTCACAGTGTTATACAGTAATGTTTACTGATGCGACGACGTTTCGAGCACAATTGATTACCGCTCATAATCAATCATATCAAGGTACTACTCACACTACTTCCTAACTTCATTTATATAGTTCCATTATTTATCACTTAATTTTCACTTGATTTGATTGGCAGTAGTATTTTCCATACTTCAGATATGAGTGATGAGTCATTCCTATTGCATGTGTTTGGTGTAGACTCTATGAGCCAGGTCGGATTCAGTAATCAACGTCTCTCTCCACCTACATAGATTACTTCTTAGAATCCTAACTCTCTGCCACCCTATTGTGTGGTTGTGTGTTAATGCGTGCAGTGCAACTGCTGAGCTTTTTTCTGAATTACTTATCTTCGCGAGTGGGGTTAGCCATTCTTACCTTAGCCAAATCCTTATGTTCTGACAATTTGACTACCCCTGACCTACTAGTTTGACCTATGTAGTTGACCTCACAGTCATTGCAGGGTATTTTGTAAATAATATTATTTTGTCTAATTGGGTCAACTGGGTCCTTTAACCTACAGAGCTTGTTCCATTATGGGTAAATTTTTTCATCGAGTCTACACCAAACACATGCAATGGGAATGACTCATCACTCATACCTGAAATATGGAAAATACTACTGCCAATCAAATCAAGCAGAAATTAAGTGAAAAATAATGGAACTATATAAATGAAGTTAGGAAGTCATGTGAGTAATCTCTTGATATGATTATGAGCAATAAATTGTGCTCGAAACGTGGTCATCAGTAAACATTACTGTATAACACTGTGAGACTTTATCAAAACAAAATGTACCCATAATGGAATTATACTCTACCACAGTGCACAAGTTTTATTCTTATATCGATTTCATGAACACTGATTCCAAGTTTTGGTTTTACTACATATATATATATATACTTTCATCCCCTAATTCTTTGCCAGCCTCTTCCTATATCAGTTAACATTACTCATCAAGGAAGAAGAGTTGATTGACTCAGAATACGCGAACAGATATGTTAAAAAACAGCATTCAATTCAACCCCCACAAAAATTTCTGAACACCAATGAACTAATAACCAATTGAATACAATCCTGTAGCCAATCAAATCCCTACAGCAAACCAAACTCTGTTAATTTCATCTGATCTGTGGTTCTACTGAGAAGTCTTAATCAATAAGATCCACTCTATCGGGCGGGAGTGAGAGCGAGCAAATACTCGCCACCGATGACACTGGATGACGGTTACGGTAGAAGCTGGCATTCAGAGAACTGACCATTGGATCAAGTCCCAAAATGATTGAATGACCTATCAATTCCACTTATCACCGAGAACTGCTAGCTTCGGAACCCTACCAGTGGGCAGGGCAGTGTCCACCACCAGAAGAGTCTCAAAACTAGGAGGAAACAGTTATCTGACGACAGTGATGATTCCTGCAACCAATGAGATCTCTGCAGCAAACCAACCAAACTTTGACAATACACTTCCATACATAATCAAAATTTCATCATCACACACATGATAAAAGTGACATATTGGAAATAAAAATCACACACACAGAGACCAATCGTAAAATATACATCACAAGCAAAGCGTAGCGAGGGGTGGGAAGCAGCGGATCCCAGGAGGAGTGTGGTGAGGAAAAACAATACTGATCAGTATTAACAAGAAATATTTTTATTTATTTAATTAATTATTTATTTTTTCAAATCTAATTATTACTTTCAACAAATACATACATAGACGTAGACGTACACATATGTGGGGTATGTGTGTATATACTACCGTCTATGCCAGTATTAACAGTAGTACACACTGAGTTAATAATACTAATAGAAAGCATTGAATCATACGACGAATAATAATAATGATAATAATAATATGAAGAGGAGAACAATAAATTCACGCAAAGAGTGAAGACAATCAGAGATAGACACACACACACACATGCACACACAGAGACAGACAGAAAGAGTGAAAGACAGATAAGGGAGGCAGAATGAAAGAGGATTAAACTCAACCAACTCATCACAATGACGCAATCGTAGTATAGCATTCAACATTTCTAAAAGAACAACTTTTCAGGAGGATGACAAGGAGGAAGGAGAAAAAAAAGAGGATAATGAAACAATATAGCAGTTTTTTGTCGATAAGATGGAGTAGATGCTTGGGAACGAACATGTAGAGGATGAATTCTTGTTGCTGGATATCAGAGAGACACACAGGGAAAAAAGGGAGAGGGCGAGAGAGAGAGAGAACATACATTATCATAGCCTAGCTGCTCTGAGAGCATAGTGAGCTTGTTATCATCCACAAGAATAGAACATATTGATGAATAACTATCCATTGAACTTAGAAGACATCTTTATTCACTAACATCATCAAGGTGCGTGTGTGTGAGAGTATGTTCATCATTTGCAATCACAGTCATATTTGAAAGATTGGAATATGAATAGGTATGTGTGTGTGTGGATGAGATGACAGTGTAACGATGTCGTAGCTGACTAATTCACTGACTGTCCGATGAATATAATAATAGTAATAATCAATTATATGAACTAAACCGTAGTGGGTTTTTATTTCACTGCCGTATTCTACTAATAGACAAACCTAGAGACGGTGTATGTATGACGTCGTAACAACAGAACACAACAACATAGCAGATACTGACAGTATTCATTGTGTTTCGTTTATCATATTTATTGATTCTCCCCACTCACTCACTCACTCACTCACCAGCGTCTTGTTCTAACTCCCAAGTAGACAACGATTGTCAGTCATCAAGAGCGTAATACAATCTCGGAATTAAGTGTCTATCCACCCCTCCCCCCACCCCTATTTCCATAAACATACACATACATGAATACTGAGAGTTCAAATTACTATGACAATTATTTAGCAGTAATTAATATACGTGTAATTTACATTTCGAAAGCGAATACGCGTGCGTATGTTGTATGTACACATTGGAAGGAAGAAAAAACTGGTGTATATTTGCGTGTGTAGGTGTGCAAAATTGTGAACACATAGGGGCGAACATGTCAGATATGTACGCCCGCACACATACACACACACACACACACAGTCACGCTTTTTACTAGGAAAAAAGGGAAAATGAGACGATAAACAGATAGAGACATACAGAGAGAGACAGAACAAGCAGAAAAACAAGAAAACATATTTTGTATAGCCATTCTTTGTTGAGTACACACACACACACAAACAGTACTGCTGCTACTAGTGTAATGAGAATATGCATGAAGAGAAGACAAAAACAAAGAGGAGTAGAGGAACAGTAGGCGGTTTATGACATTCCAAATCCTTTGCAATGGGTAATAGCAAGTAGCAGAGATTGCTTCAACTTTTCTAGACTCTGATATTCTGGTAGTAAAAGGATATTGAAACAGGTATGAGCGGATGGTAACCTGTAGGGATAGATAAAAAAAAAACATTAGTAATAATAATAAAAAGGAAAATAAGTAAAACACAAAGATAAGCTATGACAAATACTAAAAAATGTTCTTAAATGGTGGAATTCAGGAGACGCATTTCATCCTATTCACGACTCGTCAGTAAGGGAGTACTACTGATGTCTCCACTAAAAGCCGTAGCTCTTCCAATCCTACCAATCATTTCAAACACCAAAGTGTTAGCATCCACCAAACACCACTTTCCACTAAATAGCATTATGTTGATCCTGAGGTATAGTCAAAGCGTCCGTACTCAGACTGAATATATCTGACAATCAGCCACAATTATTGTGTAAACGTTAATTATACAACTAAGGCTTGACCAAGCCTTGCTGTGTGGAAAGGGATTTGCACTTGGGACACAAATGATTAAAAGTTGAGCACCTAGAACAATCAGCTACAGTTCCACTATTATATTGAACTCTGGATGAAGATGCCGTGAGGAAGAAAATTGATTATATATCGAAAACACTATATATCTAAGGAAATCCTACACATGTCCACATTTTTAAACAATCAGCTTCATCACAACGTCATGACAATCAGAGTTTACACTGACTTGAATACCCTTTCTTCAGTAGAACGACAATTATCATCCATTCACACTATGGAAATTCCCGCGACTAGAAAGTATTATCAGTACTCTAGCAAGATGTGGAGCTATAAGAGTAAATTCAAATGTTTTTTTTAGTCAAGCGTTGGTTTGTACGGATTTGATTAGTTTCAGGGTTTTATCATGAACTGACATCTGTTAGAGGATCATTGGAAACCTTGCAGGGAATACTGGACAGCTGTTTCGTCCCACTTGTTTGGGACTCTCCAGCAGTACGCACCCATTGAACCCAGAACCTTTTGGTTACAAGGAATTGGTCCATGAATTCCAACTTCTGTCGATTCATAATATGGTGGGACCACTAGCGAATGTCATTGGTGGCGAGTATTTGTCCTCACAACCCAACTTGCTGTAAACCACTGGTCACGAACTTCCTTTAATCGTATACGAGAAGAAAAATCGCTATTAAGAAAAAGAAATTGGATTTATTATTTCTGTGATCGCCTAATAATAATAATAATAATTTATTTTTACAATTTTTGATCACAAAGTAATTCGGAGACTACATAATTCAATACTGGGTAAGGTGTCTCAAATCTTTATCAACCACACTCATGAGCTGTACGACAATGCAATATGTCAAGTGATCCACAATGGAAAACTAAGTGAAGACTTCAAAGTTAGGAAAACAGGTAAGAGAATACTGTGTCAGCCTTTTGCAATTATTAGTTTTCTCAGAGCTGGTTGGTTTAGTTGCGCAGCTTTCGTCGTCCGCCTTTCTGGACAACATCTTCAGTCCAATATTTAGCATAAGGTGAAATGATTTAAATTTCTTCATGAGTAATATAATAACGTCTCCCGGTAACCATTTTAGATATGTATTGACCATTTTCTATTGACTTGGATTTCAAACTTCCTGGTCACATGATCTACTTTTTATTAGTTGGCATATTTCGTCTATATTAATGTGTTTGTTAATTGCATATTCGTTTGAGTACCAGGCTTCTAGGAATTCCCTGACTGCACTTTTGGTGTTTCCCCTGTCTAAGACTTCGACATTATCCCAGTTATCAAACTGATGTCCATAATTATCTATATGCGTTGATATGAAAGAATATATATCATGTCTTTTCACAGCTGATTTGTGTTCCTGGATTCTGGTTCGAAGGAGACGCCCACTCTGGCCGATGTAATGCCTGTTACAGTTTATACAATTTATTTTTAAATGATATTCATTTAATTTCATTCTTCTGTTGGATCTTTCGGTTTGCATAATATCGAATTAAGCGATTTGACTGGCTTGTGTGCTATATCTATTTCAAACGGTTTCAGTATTCTAACTGTTCTTTCAGAGATATTTCTCATGTATGGTAGGATGAATTTTCTTGTAGTCTTTGATGATGGTTCCTTGTTGGTGTTGTGATTCGATTTTAAACACTTTTTGATGAAATTCTGTGGATAACCATTCTTTTTGAAGACCGTTTGTAGGTATTTTTCTTCCATTCTTTTCAATTCTGGAGTGTCAGCCTATTATCACCCAACGATGGTATTTGTAATTGTGGAACACTGGATTATACTGCACAACACAAGTGGATAGGGAAAAGGGAGGAATCCACCGGATTGATAAAAAGACTCTACCGGATACCGACTTCAAGGAAAATTTATGTCTAACTGGAAGACTTACAAGCGGAAATCAACGAACTCGCAGAAGAGGCAATCAGCGAAGACAGGACTTCAAGTGAACATTGAGAAAACAGAGGTGATGAAAATAACCAACCAACCAATAACAATAACAAGGACTAATCACTATCAACGGAATAAGTTTAAAAAAGCCGTTTCCTTCACTAATCTAGGCAGCATATTTTGAACTACAGACGACAGCATAAATGAGGATGTCAAAACCAGAAGTGGAAAGGCAAGACACCTTCATCGTTCTGAAATCACTATGGAAATCCTCTGCCCTGTACAGCATTACCAATGGCATTCAGATTTTCAACACTAATGTTAAGGCAGTCACAGTTCTTCTATATCGATCAGGAACTTGGCACGCCCACACTGGTGTATTCATGCATCTACTGGCTTTAATGAAAGCCTTATGCATGCATTCCACCTATAGTTGAAACAATGACGCCGAGGTTAGTAAAAACGAAGTGAATTTCTTTCAAATTTATTCAGGTGATTAGATGATCTAGTGGATTATCTTCATCTCACCTGTGTCTTCGTTGTCTGTCTCAGACACCGACATGTGAATATGAAAACCATTTTGTCTTTTTTATTGAACATCATGAGAATTGTAGGCTCAGTGGGATGAGTAAGGTTTAAAAAAATAAAAATTCAGATATATATATATATCATTCTCTCCTACCTATTTGTATCAGCACCTTGACGGGCAATAGTGAATTTCATTTTAGACATTCCACCAACTGGGACACGATCAGAACCAGTGGAGAATTGTAATAACTGTTTCTGTTGTCCTTCAGTCATTGAGTGGACAACAGACCAAAAATTTTTAATCACAGGTGAATCCGCTGTATACTCTTCATACATGGTAACTCGTTCCAATTCTTTAAAATCATATACCTGTAAAAAATGATTCATTAAAAGGGGTTAGTTATTAATTAAGTGAAGGGGAATGCAAAATTCATGAGCAATCCCCCTATTCATCAGATGTGAATGAAAACAAAACATGTAATTTAGAAAAGAGACTGTTTCCGCTGACGAATTCATGTATGCCCCTCCCCCCACCTAGCTGTAAAATCGTATTTATATACCACTCATATATATATATATATATATATATATATATATATATATAGAGAGAGAGAGAGAGAGAGAGAGGGTAGAAACAAAAATGATCAGTTGTTAGTTATTAGTAATTGTACAAAAGACGTTGAATAAGTACATCATTTAAAAAAAATTTTTTTCCTTCACATTCCCCCCAGTGGAACATGGGGCTTCAAGCTAGTGGCTTGAAGTTTCTGTAGCAGTGTTTATTTACTTTACAAGATGGCGTTGCTAGCCTCATGCCTAACCTTCCCTCTTTACAAACATTATTTCTGGCTCAGCGAAGTAAAGGAGTGAGTCCGTGGCCGGGGATCGAACCCTGGACCACGTGCATGATCGGCGAGCAACCTAACCGCTATACCACCGACGCATGAATAAGTACATCAGAGTTACGCAGTAATAACCTTAATAATTTAATGAATGAATTATGATCATGATGAACACAGTAACGGAAGAAAATATGGAATTATCTAAAAGTGAGTCATTAAGAAATACAGGAGTTCTAAGAAGTTAGAAGGGAAGAAGACTTAGTCTGCAATATCCATCCTTAAGAGAACAAATTCATCTTTTTTGTGAAGAACATTCTTTGCAGCCATGCTAAGAGAGTAGTGTTCTCCAGTCGTTCATTGGTCTGGGCATTATATTAAAGTATATTTACAGACTTTGGCAGCGATTAACCATTGTAATCTGTTTTCCTATCACTTGAAAAATAACCAATCCCGCCCAACCGTTTTCTGTTGTTTTGTGTCGGTCACAGTGTGTAGTTTTCTTCAAGTCTTCAAAGGCATTAGAACCACTTTTAGTAAATTGATTATGCTCTTTCACTCTTGCCTTTACCTACCTGTCTGGAAGTTTCTCCTACATATACTAGCAACGTCACAGTCCCCACAACTGATATGGTACACACATTTCTGTTGGTTTTCTTCTTCTATTTTATCCTTACTTAACCTTCAACCAGTGATGAGTGTTAAGTGTCCGTTTCATTGTACACTGCACATACAAATATGTATTTTTCACATTCAGTTATCTACAACCACGAACTTTAGTCAAATATAATCAGTTAAATTCTGGCGAAAAAGTACACACTGCTTACAGTGTTTGACAAAAGTAGACTAATAATATTTGTAAGTCTGAGGTCAAATTTTGATCACAGCTCATACAATTTTGTTTGTTTATTATACATGTTGATGCCTGTTTCATGACGCATATAACTCGACAAAGGTTTTAGAAACAAGAGGTGTCCTTTTCATACATAAACCTGTTATTTTTGAATTTCGATTAATTTTCCCGGCGAGGTTTGCAGCAGTTTGCCGAACGTAGGAAACGTTGGAATTAATCATTTCAATTTCGCGGAGATTTTTTACAAATGTCTACTTCTCACTCAGCGCCCAATGATATTTTAGAAATACTCTGTCAAATATTGACTACAGTTCATATGAAAGTAATTATACAAGTAAATAAATGAATATTTCATAAAAACAAGTGTATACTACTTACTGGACTACCACGAATAAGTAGTTCTAATTCATCTGGACGAAATAGAAATGTCAATGGACTTTCATCAACAACCATTTGAAATCCTCTACGGAATGCATTGAATTGTTTCCGAACAGATTCATTTAATAGGAAATTTGTATACAAATCGATATACTCCTTTTTTATTCATTGATTCATTGATTTATTTGAATTAAACACGGGGACAAAAAATAAATTAAGAAATAATGAATTATATAATTAAAACAACTTTCACATAAAAATAAACATGAAGGATACCTAATCGCTTTTATAGTCACTGTATGTCAGATACCTGGTTGTTAATACTGAGTTCAAACTCAATTCCATGAAAAAGTCTTTTATACTTCAGGCTATGAAGCACATTTATTGTATGCTACCAGGGGTGGGGGTAAGGCCGACAACATTACTCACTCGTCCAGGCTTAAGGAGAAGAAAAAGAAGAAGAATAGAGTCTGATTGGACATGACATATCACATAAAAGCGAATGCATCTACTGTAGACAAACTGAGAACGATTTTCAGCCAATCATATCCCCAATTGTGTGTCCAGCCTTCATTCGTTCTTACCATCTCAAGGACCCCGACAACCTACGTAACTAACTTAAACTAACTGTTATGGATTTCATTGACTGATGTCATGCTTTCGTTTGACCATGATTAATTCTTTCCCAACCTAATCCTATGTCGGCTAACATTTCCCATCGAGGAAGGCAATGGCTGGTCATGTGTAACACATGTCCTGACACTCGATGTCTAACCCTATTATAACCACCTAACATGAGAGATGAAGCTCTGTGGGCAAAGTAGTACAGCTGGGAAACACGGAAATGTAACAGAAATAAGATGCATTCCCTCATGTGACCAGCATACCAGTGTAACAACAGAAGACAAGGGCCAGGCAACAGATCGTTTTATTATGAAAATCAACACGTATTTATACATATTTCAGACAACATTATTATAGACAAGCGCAGTCATCTGATTGGTTGTTTAGGTAGACAAACGCAGGCTTCTGATTGGTTGTTTCGGGATTCCTTGACAAACAGAGTTCTCTATCTGCGAATCATATTTTGCCACGTTAACTTCGCTGTGATTGGTTGTTGACTCAGCCTTGTTCACGGCCCATATTAGTGACCTAGACCTTAACGTAGATTAGTGCCAACCAATCGGCTAGCAGCCTGCTCTCACCACACTCGTCCCCCCGTCAAATACGTGCGACTGAAGTCGGCTTGATCTACTTGGTGCAGGCGTCATCGTTGGCTTGTCTCGCTGTATCCGTTTCTGGAGCTCGCTGACGTTCACGCGCCTCTTATTGTTCGCCATTGCGACTGTGTCTGCGTAACCCCATCTCGAAGTGACCATATATGGTCCTTCCCACTTTGGAAACTGTTTGCCTGACCCTGTCGAACATTCGTCCATACTTCGGCCCACACCTTCATATGCTGCTTTCGCCCGACCTCCCAGCAGCGTCTCAAGTAGCAGCTCCATCGCTGACAGACCTTGAACGCCACTCAACTGCGCAGAAGCCTTGAAGTCCTGCCCGAAGATCCATATGTCTCCATCAAAAACTGCAGGGTATAGGCTTTTCATTTGTCGGTAGGCAGCGACACCAAATGTAACAACAGAAGACAAGGGCCAGGCAACAGATCGTTTTATTATGAAAATCAACACGTATTTATACATATTTCAGACAACATTATTATAGACAAGCGCAGTCATCTGATTGGTTGTTTAGGTAGACAAACGCAGGCTTCTGATTGGTTGTTTCGGGATTCCTTGACAAACAGAGTTCTCTATCTGCGAATCATATTTTGCCACGTTAACTTCGCTGTGATTGGTTGTTGACTCAGCCTTGTTCACGGCCCATATTAGTGACCTAGACCTTAACGTAGATTAGTGCCAACCAATCGGCTAGCAGCCTGCTCTCACCACACCAGTTATGCTATCTCTTCAGTCTAGAGAGATGGAGGGTTAGAAAAAGTTGACCCCAATAACTGTACATCTCAACTTATCCTGCGGTCGGTGGTCTGTAGCTTGTGGAGGCTTCTTAATACGGAAACAACTCTGAAAACCAATTCAACTATGCTGTGTTTGTGACCAACGTCAAACAGTTGCCCTCTAGGGGTTCTGCAGTCAGACAACATTAATTGTCTTTTTGTTTCAGGTAACACAAGAATAAAAATCAACTTCCACAGTATAGAGGCAGCAGAGGTTACAACCGCCTACACACTTCCAAAAGTAAAGTGATGCCATGAAACTGAGTGAAGATGAGCATCATCTTATAAACTTATCAGTCAACTAAATACTTCCTTGATTTTAGAATCACTGGTGAATTAAATAAGAAATCTTCAAAAAATATATAGATCACATTCAAATGCAAATGCAAAGACACGTGTACACACTCAGTACATCTCTTAATTATAACATCCACTTGAAACAACATTGTGTATCTAGAATAGCCACGATTTGAAGGTGAAATGAACATCTTCGTTGAGGCAAGACTCGAGTGAGTAGTATCATAATTGTTAGACTAGCAACACTGCATTATTTTGACCTATAAGACGCAAACATCTGACTAGCAATCTAGCGGCTGCTCTTCTACTCAGAATCCTGCCATAACTGAGCTTTTCATTCTAACTAAAGTCACCACACTATTATTACTATTACATTAACAGCAGTCTACCATAAGGAGGAGGGATGTTTGAAACAGAAGTAACAATAACGCTGAGTGACTGTAGAGCCTTGAGGACACTATGTTGGTAACCCGTTTACGTGACTGACTGGATTCAACGCATAAATTTCCACAGATGTGCAGCAGTTCCATTTGTCACACCCACTCCTTGTAGCGCACAAAGGAAAAGAAGAGAGTAAAGTGAGATTCAAGACAGACAATAAACAGAAATATAAGGCAAAGGGAATAGTAATGTGGAAGAATAATAGAATTTAATTGAATATTATAAATCACAAATAGTGAAAGCATCAGCATCAGCCATTGAGAAAGATTTTGAGCCATATCACCAATTATCTCCAGCCTCTATTGGTCCTTACCATCTCGAGAACCCCAACCAGTCAGGAAGTCTACACCTCCCTGACTTAAACTGACTGTTGTGGATTTCGTTGACTGATGAAGCTATATTTTCGTTTGACCACCATTGGCTAGCTCTTGTCCAACCTTATCCATTGTATGTCAGCTAACATTGCTTGTCGAAGAAGGCGATGGGTAACCAAGCATGCGTAACATATGTCCTAACCATCTCAATCGGTCTAACTTCACAACGTCGTCGACTGATTCCTCCTCCTAGTTACCTAGCACTCGACCGAAGCCTAACCTCAATATTGCTCACCTTATTATACCACCACTTAACACGGGAGATAGAACGCGGGCACTTATAATCAAAGACAACTAGCCGGCCTAATCGTATCTGCCAATTTCAATGGCCATACTTTTTCAGTTTAAGTCTAACCGCTATCTTCTGAACAATACACCTTTCTGATATATAGGAGTTGCGACAACATCAGTAGAACTCGTCGTCGAATCATTGTCGTGTTATAGTGTTTGACCACCGCCGCCGCATCAAGATAACACCTATCGGTCAGGTCCACAGTCAGTTCCATCGGCGAACCCAAGGCTATAATGTTACTAAGAAAAAGGATTTTGTTGACAACACTCCATAGTGTTTCATCAAATGAACAACAACACACGTTGTGTTATTACGACTAGAAAACATCAAAATAGACGCTTAGTATAGTAGGACACATTTGACAATATGAAGGAATGTATACATTGATAAACTTTAAAAAAATAATTTTTTTCTAAAACAGAATTATTACATACAACATTCCTGAGAAAAGTATTTGAATGTGTGTGTGAGAGTGTGTGCGTGCGTGGCCAGATACTTCAACTATAAAAATCGCCAATCAAGTGAAAATATTGATGCGCGCTAGATATCAAAAAATGTAGGCGAATTTTCTAAAATGTAATCTGAGTTATTCAGGATAATGTACACATAATATAATCAATTAGATTTGCAGATAACTAACAGAAAATGAAGTGTAGAGATAGATCCCTAGTTGATGAATTAATGCCTGATAAAGGTAATAACTGTGTATGTAAACCACCTATATTCGTCGTTATACGAAAGCACACCAACAAATTTGGTGAGTAAAATCAGAATAATAATAAGTTATTATTATTACTGTTCCTCTGGTGATTTCTGAGCGGAACGCAAGGCTTCAACAGCACATCTCCATTATGGCCTGTTCTCTGCAGTCTTCTGCAACTGGTTTTACGATTCCCCACAAGCTTTCATTCTTCCCCACGTCCTCCTAAAGATGATCTCCTCCATGTCACCCACGAAGGGCCGGTGTGGTGTGCGATATCACTCAAAGATCCCTTCAGATATTTTGTTGCTAATTCTTTCTAGCTAGCTAGCTGCCCAATCGATCTTCAGTATGGAGCCAGTTAAGACATTTCGTCACGCGCTGGCTACGTTTCTCAACCATAGAAAAGAACTGAATGACTTAATTGTGTTCTTCGTGCTGAGCGGAGAAGATTTCCACGCTGATTTCAGCTTGAAGAAGCTTTGTTTTGCCTTGCTGATTCTGGTTTTGAAATCCTTATCTACGCCTGTGCCTGCCTCTAGTTGAAACGATCCTGCCTGGATAATACAAGGAGGCATCCTACTTCAATTTTCTTCCACTGATAATGATTGGTGCTTGGTTGGTTGGTTATCGTCATCACCTACATTTCCTCTATGTTCACTTCAACTTCTCTCTTTGCCGTTTCTACCAGTGTGTTGATTCTCGCTTGTAAGTCCTCGAATTTGTGTGACACTAGACACAAAGACTCTGAGGAATTCATCTCTTCTAGAGTTTTCTTATCAGTCCAGCATATTCCTGTCTTCTAGCTCCACATGCACAGTGTTCCACCTAACCCAGTCCACCACGGCGGAGGATAATAGACTGACACAGCCTTCTCTCACTCTTTCCTGTCTTCATCACTTCAAAGACTTCGCCAAGTTTTTCGTTGTAGAGTTGGTAAGTCGAATAAGCGGAACAACTGCAATATGCGGCACGTCAGGTGCAACACACCCGGCAACAACCATTAACGAGGTCCGGATTTGATTCCTGCTGAACACACACTCCTCTTCAATACCTGAAAATCATTCAATAGAGGAGAAAAAACACAAGTGTATACGTACAAATGAAAAGCACAGATATGGAAGGGGTAGGGTAGTGAGAACAACAACAACAACAATCATAATAATAATAATAATAATACTTACTTGACGATTTTCTTTTGTTACTGGAATCTTAGCCCCGTTTGGCTTTAATTCATGCGTAATAACACTGCCAAATGAATCGAGATAATTGACTGTAAATGAACATCCGAACACCTCTTCAATATCATCACCTTCATGCTCTAAGAGAGCTTTCAATCCATTGGCTAAACTCTGTAAAAGCAAAACAATGAGGATAAAAATATTTTTTTTATAAGAAAACAGGCAATTGAAACTAAAAAGGAAGCATGAAAATTAACCTAACAAATATGACACACAGAAGGAAGAGAAGTTGGGTATGGACATGCATGCGCTGAGGAGACATCTCCATATAAAAGGCTACACGCCAGGTCAGTTCTCAAGTGGAATCCAAATGGGAAGTGACTAGTTAGACATTCGCTAGTGTGACAAAATGAGAAAATCTTGTGAAAAGGAGATGATGAAAACTTTTGAGCAGTCAGTCATGGAGCTAGCCGACTGTGATGACAGCACAGGCACAAGTAGAATAGAGATGTAGAGCTGAGGCCGTATATTTCATTAGGAAGACAAAGAATATGTAATAATAATAATAATTATTATTATTATTATGATCAAAACTACTATTATAATTCCATACCTTTAAGTAAATGAGCTGATAGTTACAGAACGATAAGGTACTGCAATTGTGGACGTGATATCCGGTCGGCTATCGACCAAAGGGTGGGTGTACTGCTCAGCAGTTTGTTCCGTCCTCATTCATGGCTGTGAGACGTGGAGTGGAGGACATGAAAAGCCTTGCCAACTGTCTTTGGTCATAGGTGCCTGCCTTCTATCTCCCATAGTACGTTGTATAATAGGGTGAGCAATATTGAGGTTAGACTTCGGTCGAGTGCCAGGTAAGGAGGGGAAATTAGTCGACCAGGTTGTGAAGTTACATCGATTGAGATGGTGAGGATGTGTAACGCATGCCTAGCCATCGCCTTTCTCGACAACGCGTAATGTTAGCTGACATAGGGTCAGGTTGGAAAAGAACCAACTAGTGGTGGTTAAAACAAAACACCGCATCAGTCAATGAAATCCACAACAGTTAGTTTAAGTCAGCCACGTAGGAAGTTGTATACTTCCTGACTGGCATGGCTCTTTAGGATGGTGAGAACTAACGAAGGCTTGAGACAATTGGTGATATGGTTCAAAATTGTTCTCAATGGCTGGCGCGGATGCATCCACTCCTTGTGATTTAGAATACCCAATAAAACTGTATGGTTCCTCTATATTAGTTCTATTTTAGCCTCATATCTCTGTCTGCTGTGTCTGATTTGCATTTCTTTTTACTTTCTTCTCTTGCTTTGTGTGCTACAAGAAGGGAGTGTGGTGACTTGAACTGCTCAACTTCGGTGGAACGTTCTATGTTGAAAACAGACAGACTGACTGACTGACACTGTAGTTGTCATGGCCTTATTAGCTAACAGAAATCAAATAATTTGAAGTACAGCATAGCCAATAAGCCAAATACACTGAAAACACTCTATTGGTCTGAAGAGACTTGACTCGTTACGGGAATGATAAAGGGCTGATATTAGTCGGAAAACCTGGAAGTACTGAACTCTTCATCTGTGAGGACCCATTTAGGTTCAAACCAAGCACCTTCCAGTTACAAAACGAACTTGTAAAGCACACAGTGCCATTAGGAACCAATCCAGTGACCAGCCCATGAACTCCACCTGCTACCAATTTGCGATATTTAGCGCTATGCTCACTAGAGACTGCCTCTTTACCGGAAGTAGTTACCTAGAGTTCTAGTGAGAAGTTGTAACCAGTGGGGTTGAGGAAGTCAAGCAAAAGGACAATTATTCACTTGTAACATTGGCTGGCAGTTGCGCTATTTATACCGTGAATTTGCAGAAGTTGAAATTCAGGGACTGGGCATTGGATCGCGTCTCAGTGGTTGAGTGGTCCTATTAGCTCACTCAGTACTGATGGCAGCATGTTCCAATAGTTGTCAACTAGCTATGAGAACATCCCAATCAATAACAACGTAAAGGTTCAATGAAATGTCCATAGGTTGAATCAATACATTTTAAACTGTACCTCATTCATCTCCTAGGTATCAACACTACAAAAAAATACACAAAAGCAGAGAAATGAGTTGTACTGTATGGACAATTGGTGAAAATGTGTGTTAGAAAGAATAATAACGACGAAGTCTAATGGGGATTTTCAAAATCTGAACGATAACAAGGAGCTACAATGCAGCTGAGCCACTGAGAATGATTTTGAGCCACTTCATCAACAATCTTAGGGTCATTTAGAAGTAAGCATCTTAAAAACTCCAAAGCCAGGTAGTCTACACCGATATATCGCAAATCGACCGTTTAAAACTTCAACAGGGGTTTCTGTCACGTTTCCAAACTGATTCTATGTCGAAGAAAGAAAGCTGTAGCTTAACATCACCAAAAAACATCTTAGTCAACTTAATCGATTGAGCTTGTCAACCTCATCAATTGACAACCCCTACTTACCTTTGGTCGAAAACCACTGATCTATCTGCATATCCACCATTTTCAACCTTCTTGTCTCACAACTACTGGATACAGAGAATCACTGCACAACACATACATCCTCTAAGTGGGCAACTGTATATCAAACATACGTCAGAGATGACGCAGTTAGATAGGGCGCGACAACACGGATGAGGATGTCAAAATCAGAATCTGTAAAGCAACGTAGACATTCATCATTCTGAAGTCAGTTTGTATATCTCCTCGACTCCATACCGTAAAAAATAAGCTTCCGATTTTCAACACCAATGCTAAGTCAATCAGTCTGTTCTTCTATATGAGCAAGAATAGCATTCCCAGAAGGCTATTGTAGATCGGGTGGCAGGGCATAATAAATTATCAACAAGAAACTCTGGGAATAAACCAACCAAGAACCATATTGCACACACACACACACACACACTGAGGAAATCATCAGGTGACATCGGGTGCCAGCCAGACAAACGCTTGAGGATGACACGGAAAAGATTACGTAAGAAAGAAATGAGAGACTATGGGTGCAATCGTGGGGCCAACCAGCCGAAGACGACTGCAGAGGACAGGACAAAGTATAGAGACGTGCTGCTGGAGCCCAAGGGAACACTTGGGTAAAAATCATTTTTTTAAAAATAATAACATATCGTTAATAAAAAACGGTGGGTTGGGAGCAGAGATATTGAGATCTTACAGGTTTAGCATCGAATAAATCCTCAAATGTACCCAATTTTCCGAATAACTTTCGATATAAAACAGAAGGGAAATTAATATCCAATATAACATCATTATAGATCGCCAAACCGAGTAAAGTACCAATTAGACAGTATTCACGTTCCATATCATCAATAGGAGCTGGATTAAACCAATAGTTTTGAGTTTCATCATCCAATACAAACATACCTAGAGTGAAGGAAGAGAAGAAAAGAGGCATGCACACAACATAAATAGTAAAATATATGAAATTATTTACATGTAAAAACTCTAATACTGTGGTGAGAGCTGTCTGCTGACCAAAACTGATACACAGCAATTTACATGTGTTGATGGCACAGCGGTTAGCACGCTCGCCGACCACGTGCATGGTCCGGGATTCGGTCTCCATCCCAAGGCACACCACCTGATATCAATGGTCGGCCTGCTAAATTTGGACTACCAATATCACATGCTGAAAGTTACATATTTCTATCAAAAATGCTGTGTGGAGTCAAGATATATTTACTTCCCAAATCTTGATCATGCGAAAAAAGCAAGAACAAAGACTAACTCAATAACCAATCACAGCAGACACTGCGTGGGTGGATACGATTTGCAGATATACGGTCACAAAGAGATGGGAGAATAATTTTCAGTGAGAAAACAACCAACCAGAAGATGGTGTTTCTCTGCTAATAATAACGAATAATAATGTACGTAAAAATATATAAACATCTGTTGATTTCCTCAATAGACGATCTCTTGCCTGGCCTTTGTCTTCTGTCGTTACAACACCACCCCAGAACAACAGTTTCACTGATACCAAAACTTCAAAGCTTAAAGCCCAATATTCCACTTGAAATGACAAGGAAGTGACTGGTTGACTTCAAGAGAGATTAGCAGGACAGACAACACCCCCATCGTAGTTAGTCGTAAGGTCAAGGATGATGCAATCAATCAGATAATGATTATCGATCGATGGTTTAAATTTCCGAGGATGTGTAAACAATACATATACTGTGTATTTTAAATAAATAAAAGTTGTTCGATTCGGATGTGAGAGCAAATACTCACCGCCAATTACATTGCCTGATGCGAATCGCGCCATCTCGTGAACTTGCAGAAGTTGGAAGTTATAGACTGGTTAATGGATTGGGTACAAGTGGCTTAAAGGTCTGTCGAAAAATCATGGGTTCGAACCACGGCGGTTTCAGCTCATGACGAAATCCTGTAATAAAAATTGTTGTTGTTGCCGAGTTTAAATCTGACTTTTATGTCTGCCTCAGTGTGGGTGAATAATTTTTCATCAAATATCTTCTGACACACAGTGTTACTGTTTTTCTGGTTGTCGTCTATTATTAAATATATAATCCGGTCGGAGACAAGATATTATAACCAAATAATCAGTTGGGTGGGGGAGTATTTCAAACGACAACCGCAACAACGTTTATTATTCCAGATATAGGGTAAATCTATCATTTACACATCCGCGGGAATATAAGCCATGAATAAATAATTGGTATCTGATGGATTGCATGACCTTGGAGATTCTTCAAAAGTCGTCTAATCAGGTTATCATAGCAGTGTGTGCATCAATTACGACTTCATGGCTACCTGCGATAGACTGGCCGTCCTAAGCGCCCATCTTTTTAATAGACTTTTAGTTGGACGGGGGAGGGCACTGGAAATCAATTGTATGTCTGGGTACTATCCGTCTATGTGCGTCGGTGGCACAGCGGTTACGACTTTCGCCGATTCATGTACATGGTCCGGGGTTCGATCCCCTGCCGCTACACACCTGATATATATGGTCGGCCTGCAGAATTTTGGCTACCGATATCACATGCTGAAAATTCCATACATGTACCGAAAATACGGTGTGAAATCAAGCTATAATAAAAAAAAAGATTTATTCACTATACACCATCATCTAATTAACTGTGGGAAAGTCGACAGTTTGTTGAATTCTATTCCTCACTAATCTTTTTCTCACTGAAGTATGCAGACAATTCTCACTTTTCACTTACATGAGATAAGTTGACTTGCACAGTTCATTGATCTAGCAGCTTGATTTCTACTCACTATTGGGTCACAGAATCCAGCGCCACTTCACCTACTGGGGTCTGGGATAGCCACTATCAGGTATTACTATTTAATTCTCATACAAAAAGTGTAACCAACAATAAAACGCATATATCTGAGATAGAGAAAAAAAATGCCAGCTGAAAACTCACCATAGTCTGGATTAAAGATTCGTTCAATAATCAGTTGGAAAAACTCTTTACTAAGTCCACCTTCATCAATCCCCTGTTCACCTTCAAATTCAATAAGTAATTGCTTTTTAAAATCGCTAGGATTTTCCATACATGTAATTTCCAACTGTTTTAAGAGAGAAAATATGTATAATGATACAGTTATAAGAAGTAGAAGAAGAATGTAGCTACAAACATAATAATAATAATAATAAGTACTACTGAATGACTGGCATAAACCAACGGTTAAAGATTCCGCGAACTGATACAAAGTGTTAGTTTGATCACTACTACCTCATTTCCAACCTCAGACATCTTATGTCAGCTAACAATACCCATCGAAGAAGGCGATCGGTGGCTAAGCGGGCATGCATAACATGCATCTTAACCATCTCAATCAATGAAACTTTACAACCCCGTCGATTGACTTCCTCTCCCTGTCTAACACTCGACGCCTAACCTTAATATTGCTTACTCTATTATACCACTTCACACGAGAAATAGAAGGCAGGCACCTATGATCAAAGACAGCTAGCCAAGCTTTTCATGTCTCCCAATTTCAATCGCCATGTCTCACACATAACTATACAGGAAGACAGAGCCTATTGTTTAACAGGACAGATGTGCTTTGGTCGACAGCCAACTGGATAGCAAGTCTACGCCACAGATGGCGTAAGTTGAAATATGCCAAACGAGCCTTTGTATGCATGCTGTAATTTCACCAGTAACCAACTCACTGCCAGGACTGATGCAACTTTCCAAACAAGCGAAATGGTCACCACACCCCACCAACCACTTCATCACATATCTTTAGGCTAGGAATCGAAGTAGGCCAGTCTACACCTGTAGCAGCATCTTACACTTGACGGGAGTGAATCACATGCCAAACATTTGAAGACTGCTGCTCCTCAAGGGAGGAGTGTGTCATCTGGATATTTTAAGTCAACGAGATTATTCCCTAGTGGTAACAAATCAGTCCCTGAGTCGCCAAAGTCACTTAGGGTTAAGTCCATTATTACGATTTCTATGATGAAATTAAAGAGAAATAGAGACGGACACCACTAGTTGTCACCAGTTCAGATGACGACTCGCCGTAAGCTCTCACCCGACTGACTGCATGAGTTCGAGTAGATTGAGTGCCTTGACCACTGCAATGTATTTTCTCGGGATTCCCTTCACAGCCAAACATCGCCATAGTACCTCTTGGTCGACAAAATCGAATGCCGCCTTTAGGTCAAAAAATATAACGATTGTTGGACACCAACGGTAAGTATGCCTATGTTCCAGAATCTGTCGGAGGGTGAAGATATGATCAATACACCCTGTTGCTTCCTGGTCTAAAGTCTGCCTGGTTCTCTCGTGTTTGTTTTTCCCGGGCAACACTTAGTTCAAGCATGAGTACTGAGCCTACGACCTTGACATCCTATTGGTTAAGCTAATCCCCTAGTGATTATCACAGAAAGACTTGCCTCCCTTCCTTTACACTGCAATAATCAATGACTCAGACCAAGCCAATGGGATAATTTCTGATTCCAAGATGTTGCCTAATACCTTATTTAACCGTGACATCAAATTATCTCTAACCATCCTTAGATACCTCTGGAGTCATTCCATCAGGTTCCGCTGCTTTGCTTCGTTGCATAAGAGAGACAACTTTAGTAAACTCAATTAGGGACGGACGACCGGTGTTTATTATCCCATTCACGGATGTACTGCATTTTCAAAGTTACTTTTTCGCTAGGCAGAGATAACACAGTCTGAGAATCATTGAAAAACCCAAGATTATGCAGTATATCTTCTGCTCCTAACAAATGCAGTATATCAGGTCTCTTCGGCCAGTAGGTGTTACAGGGGGTACTATTAGGGTGAGTAATATTAAGGTTAGGTTTCGGTCGAGTGTTAATTAATGATGGGGAAGTCAATCAATGTGGTTATGAAGCCCTGATATGTATCCACATGATGTGTGTGTTTCGTTGTTGACAGTCAATTATATTTTGCTGTGTATGTGGATCGATACTCCATTATAACTGACAATATGCTTTTGTCTGTCCACTAACTAAACAAACATGTCTGACCTTGTTGTCACATGACATTACAACCAATCATGTTAAGACTGTCTATTGATTCGTTCATTTTTGAACATTCGCTCATACACTTGTGTGACATTGATTTTCCTTGTTTTGAAAAGTACAAGTATCATCGTGAACATGGTGGTTTTCTGATTTCCGCCTTTTTGTGTCAGGACTATTAATTACTCGACCAGTACATAACAAGCCTAATCCATTTAAAATGGCTACAACATGGCTACAATGCAGTATTTCAGGTCATCGCCTTCATCATCTAAAAATGTTAGCTTACGAAGGGAATCGGATCGGAAAAGAGCAATCCCCAGTGGTCAAACATAAATCTGGGAACAGTCTATAAAGTCTTTGAATATTGGTATTCAAGTATTGGTTTGTAGGGATTTGGTTGATTGGTTACAGGATTTCATCATGAGCTGACATTAGTTAGAGAATCATTGGGAAACCTGGGAGTACTGGACAGCGAATTCGAATCCCCGTGGGTGTGTAGTGCTGAAGAGTCCCAAACAAGGACAAAACATCTATCCAGTACTCCCAGGTCTTTAAAATATTGGTTTGAGTTAACCACCACGCATAACACAGGACAGTGTTGACTGCCTGATTGAGGTGCTAACAACCAATGGCGGCCAGCTTGAAACTTCGGCTACCGAAAAAAACCCCAACACTCCGTATTGCACATCGTTCTTCTTATTCAGTTTGTTTAAATCTAGTAAAATATGGCCATCTCTAATAGTGCTATTTACTCTGAAGAGGACTTAAAAAAAGTTGACGACCTACTGATTCGCAAGTTCCTACAAAACATGGGAAAAAGTATTATTCTCTATGAGAGCTTATCCCAATATATGAGATGACAATTCCTCAGTGGTGGTCCTCCCCTCATAAAATGCACCCCTGAACCTTTCACATGATTGGTATCCAACAAAATGTAGGAAAGGAAGAGATATCATCATAAGGGGATTTGGCTTGCGCTTCAGTTCAGATAGAACTGTGTGTGTCTCACACGATTTCCTGTCAATTCATCTTTTTTTTAATTGAAAGGTCCTAGACGAAAAGAAAACATTACACAGTAAATAAACTCCGCTGAAAATTCTGTAAATTATATAAACGCCATTCAGAATAAAGCTGGCTGGAGACTTTGGGAGATATGTTTCAGAATTGTTCTCAGTGGGAACAACAGCTGCATTCACTCTTCGTCGTCTTCAAGATCCACTAAACAATAATGTTTCTTTATGTTACTATTCTTGCTGCTGATTATACTTTTTTGAACCTCTCTCCTTTTGTGCCATTTATTTGGTTCATGGAGTATGAAAACCTAAACTCGCCAACCATACCGAAAGTGTTCAGGGGTTTGATCCCCAGTCAAAGAACATCTAAACCTCGCTTAACTGATAGTGAACCTAGTGTGTAAAGAGGGGCCTCCTCCTCCACTGAAGTCGCATAATCCACTCGCAAATGCGAAGGAATAAAAAAGCACTCTCATCGATGGTGTTTGTTCGTTAGCGATATCGCTACATGTCAAATTCTCAAGGATTTGTTTGTAGGCATTTGGTTAGGTTAGGGTCAGGCTGAAAAAAAGCTAGCGGCGGTCAAACAAAAACTTGGCACCAGTCAATGAAATCCACAACAGTTAGTTTAAGCCAATCACGTAGGAAGGTATATACTTCCTGACTGGTTGGGGTCCTCGGGACGGTAAAAATCTATGGTTGGAAACAATTGGTGACATGGCTCAAAATCGTTCTCAATGACTGGCGAAGATGCATCCACTCCTTGTGACTTATGATTTCCAATGATACTGTTTTGTTCTTCGTTATTACTCCTCCTTTGTCTCACACCTTTGCTCACTGTTTCTATTATGCTTTTCTTGTACTTTCTTCTCTTGCTTTGTGTGCTACATGGAGGGAGTGTGGGGACTTGAACCGTCGCACATTTGTGCAAAGTTCTATGTCGAAAACAGACAGACAGAGACAGACAGGCATTTGGTTTGCTTATTCAACTTGACTGCTGTCAGTCAGAGGACCGGGGATACTGAAGAGATATCTCGACCTAGTTTATCAATCATTGGGAGTATGCACCCACTACTAGGGGTTCAAACCCACCAACTTCCAGTTACAAGTTAACCGAGCTCGGACACCATTGAGCCATGCCACTGGGACCCGACTCAATAACCAGCTAATGAATTCTAACTTCGATATGATAGAGAAGATTTTTAGTTCAGGTGGATGATTTTGATGTGCTTGTGTTCTCTGAGCTGGATAGTTAATTTGTGAAGCTTTCATCACCCTCCTACTAGGCGACATCTTCAGCGAATACTTCAATTTGAATTGAAGTGAGCTTTTAGATTTCTCCACGAGTTTATTAATCATCTCTCCTGGTGACCACCTTGGACGTGATTGGTTGCTTTTGTGTGTTTTCACACTTTCTAGGTTACTTGTATTGGAACTGATAGTTTCCTTGACTTGAACTTTCACCCTTTGTGTGTGAGGTTTGTTTCTTATCGGTCGATAAATTTTGTCTATTGATTGATGATTCATTGGAATACCACGCAAGCTTCTAAAAATTCTCTAGCATTCTTGTTATTTCCTCTGTCTAATATTTGAACGTTGGTTGTCCCAGTCGAATTGATGTTCGTGGTTGTCTGTATGTAGTGATATGAGGGAGTGGATATCATGTCTTTTGACGGCTAGCTTATGTTCGTGGATACGAAGACGAAGGAGACGTCCACTTTGGCCAATGTAGCTAGCGGTCAAAAGACATGATATCCTTCATATCACTACACATAGACAACCACCGACATCTATTCGACGTTCAAATATTAGACAGAGGAAACACCAAGAATGCTAGAGAATTTTTAGAAGCTTGCCTGGTATTCCAATGAATCATCAATCAATAGACAAAATTTATCGACCGATAAGAAACAAACCTCATACACAAAGGATGAAAGTTCAAGTCAAAGAAACTATCAGTTCCAATACAAGTAACCTAGAAAGTGTGAAAACACACAAAAGCAACCAATCACATCCAAGGTGGTCACCAGGAGAGATGATTAATAAACTCGTGGAGAAATCTAAAAGCTCACTTCAATTCAAATTGAAGTATTCGCTGAAGATGTCGCCTAGTAGGAGGGTGATGAAAGCTTCACAAATTAACTATCCAGCTCAGAGAACACAACCACATCCGAATTCTAACTCCTGCCAATTCTTGATTTTAGCGCGGCTAGCACCAGTCAATGTCATCGTTGGTAGCTAGGAATTGCCCTCACTCCCCGCCCAATAGAGTGGATACCCTACTGGCCACAACTTCTCAACAGGCATCTTCGTCCAGCAGCCAATCATTCAATGCCATTGAATTCCAACCCAATGACTGATTGGTTCATGAGCTGGCCTCGCCGGATTTGATTCCTGATGGCAGCGCCGTAGGTGCACACTGTCAAAGAGTACCACAAATTGGACCAAAACACCCGACAAATGACCCTTCGGCTTCTAAAGAATTCATTAACTAATGTTAGTGTATGGAAAAAATCTAAAATTGAAATTAGTCAACATTTCTGTTCAAAACCAAAAGATGAAGAGTGAATAGTAATCAGATAGTAATAATAGCAACCAGTAAAAATAACAATCATAATAATCAATAAAGATGACAGTAAAAAAAATCACGGCTAACAACTTACTATTAGTAGAGCATCTTCAACAATTCTATCACGACTAACACGTAGTTTAAAGAATGGCATTTCAGGTGTATCCATAAAAAGTGTATGCATCAGTACACCACGACGTTCATCCAGCATACGCATACGATTATCATAATATAGGAGAACAGATTTAGAACTAGTTTGTAGAAGAAATGGTAATTTCATAAAACTTAATTCATTTGATATACCTTTTGAACGATAGTAGATATAATCTTTTTAGGCTAGATAAATTGAAGAGAAAAAATTAGAGATACTACTTGAATACAAACAACTTGGAGTAATATGAACATACCAAGGCATGTGTTATACAATGTAATACATTGGAAAGAAAAAGACTGATTAAGGCAAAGGATGATGAAAATCGGACGGGAGTAAGACAAGCTGACTGCCTACTATCACCAATGATTTTCCTGATTGCAGTAGATTGGATAATGCGACAGACAACGAGCAATGAGGAAACAGGCATAAAATGGACCCACACAAAAAAAACTTGGAGGATCTGGACTTCACCGACGATGATATATGTCTGATTTCCCAATCACTCGAAGATATGCAAGTGAAAAGCAACAAGCTGGCAGATGAAGAAGCATCCACAAAAGATAGGACTTCAGGTGAACATAGAGAAAACAGAGGTGATGAAGATTCCTGACCAACACCAACAGACAACAATCAGCTGGCATAAATGGGAGGAACCTGAAACAAACAACCTCCTTTACCTACCTACCCAACTGGGAAAAATCGTTTCAACTACAGGCGGACGGAACGGACGAGGATATCAAAGCCAGAATCGGAAAAGCAAAACAAGCTTTCATTATTCTTAAGTCTGTGTGGAGATCAACACCACTCAGCCTCTAAAAGAAGATCCGGATTTTCAACTCCAATGTGAAGTCGGGGTTACTCACATCATGGATAAGAGATTTGCACTGCGCGTCATAAACAGCATCTCAAACAAACTACAGACCTTCATTAACAGTTGTCTTCGCTCAATACTCAAGATCACATGGCCGGCCAGAAAAGATCAGCAACACGGATCACAGGCAATGACCGAACCAACCAGGAACCGATTGTGCAACAAATAGGCAGGAAGAAATGGAGGTGGATTGGCCATACTCTGAGGAAGCCATCAAGTGACATCATTAGACAAGCCATTGCTCGAGTGGAACCCGAAAGGGAAGCGGAGAGTTGGTCGTCAGTGCAAGGGTGACTTGAAGGAGGTCATGTGAAGAGGAGATGAAAGCATGTGGGCAGACTTGGAGTCAAGTGAAAACTCTAGTAGAGAACGGAACCCAATGGAAACGTGCAGCTGAAGCCTTATGTTCCTCTAGGAATTAAAGGAAATATTAATAATAATATAATAATGATGAAAACAGTTGCAGGAGTGGATTGCACCGATTTCTAGCTTAAGAAATAAGGAGTGAAGTAGTGGAATGTGTTGACCACTATTTTACTTATTCGGAAATTTGAATCAGCCCCAATGGACTGATTGCTGCCTAAATCTCATCACGGTGAAAAATTGTCTCGTGTTGTATTTGCCAAATAACACCATCTCTTCATGGCAGTTGAGATATGGTCATTGAAAGTGGGAGATATAATGAAAAAGGCTAGCTGTCTTTTACCATAGATATCTACGTTCTATCATCTCTCATGCTAGGGGGTAAATTAAGGCTAGGCGTACATTGTGTTCAGTAAGCAGGGAAAATAAGTCTAATGGAGGTTGCACAACAAAATCGATTCAGATGGGTAGGACCTGCGTTACGCAGAAATTTTGCACAAATGTATATTCTAAGATTAAGTGTCAGGGTAGATAAAAAAAAGAAAGAAAAACCTGCCCACAAACACGCGAGAGAAGTGCAGAATCAGAATAATTTTGATGGTCACCAGTGCCACAATTCAAGTTCAACATACAGAAACTGAAGGACAAAACTACAAGGGGTACCTTAACTACAGATCAAATCAAAGCAAAGTTGGAGACAATATGCGGTATCACTGAGGAAACCTGCGTGGGGAAATACTGGAACTCTCTGAAGGTGAGCTACCAAAGGGAGACTCAGGCCTCTGCAAGAGCTGGAGTGGAATAATGCTCTTATCGACGTCAAGTAAAATACTAAGTCGCGTCATCCTGGAGAAAAGAAAAAGAAGCACTGGATACAGAACTCTGCCACCCACTGGAAAGGCAAATCATGTGCTGATCAAATTCCAATTCTACGCATCGTCATCACAGAACATAGCATTGAATCGCAGTCAAACCTCTACCTCAAATTCATCGACTTCGAAAAGCCTTTCACCAGACAGCGTTGACCGAAAAGTAATTTGGAAACTAATTCAACACTACGGCATGTACTGCCCAAATCTTTATTAACGTCATTCAACATCTAGCTATATGACAATGCCACGTGTCTACTGATCCACAACGGAAAACTCAGCGAAGCGTTCGAAGTGCATACAGGAGTAAGACATGTTGGCTGTCTATTATCACCGATGATATTCTTAACTGCGGTTGACTGAATTATGTGTCAGACTGGGCATCGAGAATGAGAAGAAAGGAATGCGTTGATCTGACCGAGAAGAAGGCTTACTTGTTGATGATTTATGTTTGATGTCACACAAACTCGAAGAATTCCAGGTGAGAACTAAGAAAATGGCTGGAGAAGCAGTCAGCGAAGACAGGACTCCAGATGAACATAGAGAAGACGGAGGTGATGAAGATAACCAACCAACCTAATAAATAACCAACAACAAAAACAACATCCAGCACCAATCGCCATCAACAGCAGAGATTTAACAGAGGTTACGTCCATCACTTGCCCAACCAGGAAGCATTGTTTTAACTACAGCAAGCGGAACGGATGAAGATGTCAAAGCCAGTCAGAAGCAGAAAGGCAAGATACGCCTTCATCAAACTGAAACCAGTTTGGAAATTTTCTGCACTGCACTCAGCCAGCATAAACAACAAGAGTAGAATTTTCAACATAAATGTGAGGCCAGTCAATTCTTCTATACGGGTCAGAAGCTTAGCCGGCGTGTCACAAGAAAGATTCCCAACAAGGTACAGACTTTTATAAACAGGTGCATACTGAAGAAGAGATGACTCGTCAGAAAGAATTAGCAACAAGAAACTCTGTTTAGGAAGAAACCAACCAAGAGCCGATTGCCCAACAAATATGTATGATAAAATAGAGATATATCGAGCATACGTTGAAGAGGCTGTCGAATGACATCGTGCGCAATGCAAGCCATTGACTCAGTGAAATGGCAATGGGAAGCGACGAGTATGGGTTTTTTGGTGTGAGAGTGACTTTGGGGTTATCGTGTGGGGAGGAGAAGATGAGATATTATGGGCAACCGTGAGGCTAGCCAGCCAGATGAATGTCTCTGTCTGGATTCAACATAGCCAGATGAATAAGACAGCACTAAACAGAACAAAGCGGAGATGTATTGTTGAAGCTCCATGTTCTACTTGGAACCCAAATAAGTATTAATAAAAGTAGTACAGGTTACACAGATTTCAGTAGACTACATTGAAACAGCTATTTTTCCAGTATTCCATCTATTTTAAAATAATGAAATTTGTGAGAGATTCTGCACTTCCTCTTTACCTTTTTAGTTCTTCAGACATCTTTGTGAACAAAACAGCAATGGGAAAAAATAGTAAAGAAAGACTAAAACCATGTCTTCAAATAATAATAATAAAGAACACATAAATACCTGTAGTCCATCGTTAAGTGTTTCATTTACAAAATCTTTAGAAGGGATAAATGGTTTTCGACAATCATTAGGCGATATATTCAATGCCTTGGCAAATGGATCTTCAGGTAAATTTGTTCTTGAACGTCTTTCATAAGTCTTGAAATGAATGAAATAATAAAAAAAGAAGGTTAAGCATTTAATGAGACACAGCATTAAGATATATTGAAAAGTGAAAAAAAATAGAACAAACTAACTTTATATAATTAAACTTAAATGACAAAACAAGGGTGTTTAAAATTATTGGACTTCTGTGTGTGTGTGAGAGAGAGAGAGAGAGAGAGAAATTCATCATGAACTGAGATTGGCGGGAGAATTCCAAAAAACCAAAGAGGAGTAAATATTTCTTCAGTAGCACTCACCACCTCAGTGACTTCACCTGTCCACCCACAGTGAGGAGGAAGCTTGGTTGGACATGTTGGTGATCCGAGGGAAACACTTTACTGTTGTCACACACCCCAACCCCTGGATCCCAACACTACGACTTTGCCCAAGGCCGCCCCCACCCCCACAAACATAGTGTAAACATCTTACACTAAACGGGTGGTAACTACTTTTAGCTTAATCGCTATCCTAACGTCTTTTCTGGCATGGTTGTGAAGTTACAGTGATTGATTATTACGCATGGCTAGACTAGGCTAGACATTGCCTTCCTCGACGCAGGAACTGTTAATTGACATAGAATTAGATTGGAAAAGACCTAATGGTGGTAATATCGAATTCTCGGATCAGTCCATAAAATTTTTGACAGTTAAAGGTGTAGACTTCCTGGTCGGGGTCCTTTGAGTATTAAGAACCAGTAATGGCTGGAGGCGATTGGTGATGTGGCTGAAATTCATCGTTCTTAATGGTGGTGCAGATGCATTCACTCTCTGTGATTTGCCATATCTAGTAAAATCCTATTTTTTTTCCATATTACTATTCTTCCTCCCTCACACATCTGTTTATTATCTCTTTCTCTTTTTAAACCTTTCTTTACTCTCTTCTCTTCCTTTGTGTGAGATATGGAGTATGGAAGGTGTGAATTAGTGCATTTCTGAGCAAGGTTTTACGTCGAAACCAGTCATTCAGCTCATGGGTTTCGAGTTGAACATAAGTCTTTGAAGTTTGACTAGTTATGCTGTGATGAGAGCTGTCTGCTAGCCAAAACTGATAGACAGAAACTCACGTCAATGTTGACGTCCCATATCTTGGTCATGAGAAGAAACGAGACCAAAGCCTAACCTTGAGAACCTCAACAACCAATCACAGAAGACTTTGCGTGGGCGGATACAATTCGCCGATATATGGTCTGACCTTCAAAGAAATGGCCCCGAAGGGATGACAGAATAACTTTCAGCGAGAAAATAACCTATCAGAAGACGTTGCCTCTCTGCTAATAATAACGTATATAAAAATCTATAAATATCTACTGATTTCCTCAATAAACGATCTGTTTCCTGGTCCTTGTCTCTTGTCGTTACAATGCTACTGTTCTTACGGAAAACGGGGATTGCCAGCCACACACGCCACCGAACTTCCCTTACTTACCACCACAGCTTCGTTAATCTGGCTGAGGTTGACAGGCACGTGCAGATCAGGAATACAACCGGAACTTTCCAGCGTGACTGACTTGGTAGGCAGTCAGCAACCAGTGAACACGGTGGACAACACAACTGATTCCCAGTATTAATTATTACTAAGCCTAAAGTTTTTGTAAGCTGATATCTGTTTGGATTATATAATACATATTGAAATATATCTTTAGAAGATGAAAATGAATTTTTTTAAATGGTATTCGTGATGTACTTGCACAAAGTGCAATTTTTGCCTAATAATTAGGCATCTAACAGTTTAACAATAAGAAATGTAATAACTTGATCAATATAATTATCAGAAGGGAGGGAGGATCAATCGTCATATGAAGTAGTCGCTGATATAAATTTAAGACATACAAACTACCTATGTGATATAACTTATAACAACAAGGGAATGTTCTTTTTGGAATTGCCCTCTCACTAAATCTATAAAGTTAAAAAGTATTCTAGGAGGTTATAGAAATGCTCGTGCGTCGGCGGAACAGCGGTAGAATGCTCGCTCGCTCCCCGGTTATCGACACACTGGCAAAGAGGGAAGGTTGGGCATGAATTTGGCAATCCCATCCAGTAAAAATAAACACCACTGCTACTGAAACCTCAAGTCTGTAGCTTGAAACCTTATGTTCCAATATTACCAATATTATTGCTATTCCCAAGGATTCCGAGTGGAACATAGGGCTTCAACAACATATCTCCAATTAGTCCTAATGTCTCTGTAGTCTCCTTTAGCTGATTCCACCATTACCCATACGCTTTCACCTACTCCTTACACAATCTGCTCCGTCACCCTCGCAACAACACCTAATTCACGGCTTCACATTCGGGTTCGACTAAGTGGCCAGCTCGGTTTGCGATGCCACACAAGAGTCATCTCAGAGTTTCTTGTTGCTAATTCTTTCCAACTGGTCATCTGATCTTCAATATGGAGCCAGAGAGTGAAGAGGGCGGCTGTTGATTTGAAAACCTGCAGCTGGTTGTTGGAAGTGATTTTCGTGACACATGTGCCAAGTTTATGACTCATATAAGAGAGGTGGTAACTGATTTGGCATTAATGCTGAAATTCCGAGTTTTGTTCTTTCTGTTGAGCGCAGAAGACTTCTAAGCTGATTTCAGAGTGATGAATGTCATACCTTTGTGGTTCTGGTTTTGACATTAACATCCATGATATCTCCTGTAGTTAAAGTGGTGCTTCCTAGATAAGTAGTGAGGGAAGCAACAGCTTTCAAATTTCTTCCGTTGATAGTGATTGGTACTTGTTGCTGTTGTTGATTGCTTGGTGGTTTTCATCATCTTCGCTTTCTCTGTGATTACTTGAAGTCCTGAATGTCTCTTCTGCCAAATTGTCAGTTTTTGCCTGTAAGTCTCCGAGTTTAAGTGATATTGGGCATTAGTCATTCGCAAAGGTCAGATCTAACCTGCTTATTGCTCCAGCGTATTCCTGTCTTCTCGCTTTCCACACACAACGTGTCGCGTAATCCAGCTGCCCACTAAAACTAGGAATATCATCAATGATAGTAAGCTGACAGTCTTGTCTTACTCCTGTCTTCACATATAAAGGCTTCACACTGAGTACTCCCGTTTTGGATCTCACTTGACATGCAGCCCATTGTCATAAAAGTTGATGAATGAGGTTAATAAAAATCTAGTGGAGAGACAGAACGGCCAATAGAGACCAATTATTAATAACATGTATGAACTCTGTTCGACCAGTGAATTCTTTTTTTACCAACTTAAATGAATAATTGACCTTTTTATCGACATTTCTATAACCTTTCAAAACATTAGTTGTTAAACTGTAAGGCTTTAAAAAGAGAGAAATTACGAAAAGAATACTCTTAGCGCCTTTTTAATTTCTTCATAAAAGGTTTTTGTCAATAATCCTTTTCATCCTTATATTCGTAAACACACACTGGTGTTTTGGTTGGACACTAGTAACTAGTGTGATGCGTCTAGTCCCCTGATTGGTGTAGACTAAATTCTATCAGTCAGGTTGTAATGTGGCCACCATTCTAAGTAGCTCGCCATCACAGTGCACATTGATTTGATGATACCGGATAGTTGGAGACATTCGGCAGGAAGCCTTAGAATTCAGTCTGCGCCAAAGAAAGAACTAGAAACATCGCACTAGTTACTAGTGTCGAATCAAAATACCCACTACAATCCTACAGGAGGTCAGTCACGAGCCCGAACAGCTCAGTGGTAACGTCTCTGACTGCAGGTGGCACTGGGTGACGCGGGTTCGAATCTCAGAAGGGACACGAATTCCTCCAAGGTTGCAGATACGTCTCGCTGACGAGTGCCAACTAGCACGAAACCAAGGTCCAAGGCTTCCTGTGGCTAATTGCCTCCAAATATCCAATATCAACAAGACAAGGGTGTGAAACAACCCATCTTAATATTCGAATTAATTTCATACATGTGCAGTGTGGAAGCACCATTCAGAATAACAATTAGAAGTTCATTAGAAACATCTTTAGAAAGGCAATGAAAGCAGCATCCAAGAACACCCACCCATCCCCCTGGATACAAATAACGAATCCATAATAGTTAGAATATATACATATCCATCATTGGAATATGAGTCAACCTGGATTGCGTCTCTTATGGGATGCCATAAGAGTTCACTATACTGCTGAACAGTCCCAAAACAGGATGAAACACTGCTCTCAATGCTCCCGAATCTATATTCAGTGTTTGACAAAATAAAACTATACCAAACCTGCCGTAGACAGAGCATATAAATATATAATCAACTGAAATTTTACTGGATGAAGCAATCATTTAGAAATGATCGATCATAAACTGAGTTTAGTTAGAGAAGTATTGAAAACCAGGGTGTGCTTATTTAGGTCTCTTTATCAGTACACACACACTTATGACTCCGCCGTCAAGGATCGAATCCAAGACCTTCAGATTACAAGACCGCTCACACCACTGGGACATAATCAGATAGCCAGCTGATGAATTCTAGCTTCTGCCATTTCACGATATAGATAGCATTACCACCACCCAATATCATCGTGAATATTTATCCCACTTGGTGGACCCCACCAGTGTCCAGTGACTTCTCACTAGAACTTTAGGCAACTTCATCCAATAGTCAGCCGCTAGTGAGCATTAGATTAATTTCTACGTATTGATTTGCGAGGATTTGATTGATTTTTTAAGATTGAATAACACACATGAAAGTTAATTGAGTGCAGACTGGCGACTACAGGATGACTACAGAATAAAGTAGCCTGAAGTCTTAGTGAATAGTTGAGACGACTGAGGAATGCAGTGACAAATACTCACCGATGACACTGGTTAGCGGTCGCGTTACATATCTCGAACTAGTTTTGTTTATTCCTTAACGTTCCCAGTGGAACATAGGGCTTCAAGCTGGAGCATTGAAGTTTCGGTAGCAGTTATACTGTGGTGAGAGCTGTCTGTAAGACGAAATTGTAGACAACAATAGACGTCAATGTCACAGTAGACTTAGTGTGGGCGGATACGATTAGCAGATATACCAACGGACTGTCTAAGAAACGGCCACAAAAAGATGACAGAATAACCTTCAGCAGGATAACAACCAATCAGAAGACGTTGTTTCTCTGCTAACAATAACGCTAATAATATAATGTATAACGAGTAATAATATATATATATATATCCATTAATTTTCTCAATAAGCGATCTGTTTCCTGGCCCTTGTCTTCTGTCATTACAGTATCTAGTATTACAGGATACAGTTGCTAGCCTCATGCTCAACCTTCCTATTACTGGCTTAGTGAGATAATGGAGTTCGTCCGCCGAGGGTCGAACCCCAAACCACCTGAGTGGTTGGCGAGCATTCTACCGCTGTGCCACCGATGCATCTCGAACTTGTAGAAGTTATAATTTATGTGCCATTTGATGTAATCCCACTGGTAGAACAGTCTACAAGCTCTCTTTGTAACCTGAACGTCCTGGTTACTGACTGGCTGAGGCTGATGAAGAGACTGAGACAAGGATGAAACAGTTGTCCGACTGCACCGACTGATGGTTTTCAATGGCTCTCTAACTTGAAGTCGGTTTTACTATCAAACCAACACACAAAGAAATCTAGAAAAGCTAATAAAAGTAATAATAACAACCATAATAATAATAATAACAACCATAATAATAATAATAACGGTACTTACAGGTCCTACATGCGCACGCATTTGAGCTTCAAAATTCTTATTCTCTTCTGCTTCTTTTTCTAATAATTCTGGTGAATCCATTTGACCCGCCAGTAGGCTAGCATAATAGACAATGCGTAAGACAAGTGCAGCTTCACAGATTTGTTTATCTTCATTCGGTAGAACATGATCTGTGGTTAAACAACGTAAAGTGATATGATGCAGTAGAATTTTTTGCAAACACCAAAGATTTGTTTGTTCTGGATTCGGTGATTCTGTACAATTGGCCAATGGGATATGCACTGAGTTGGCCCATGCTCTGCATAGCATAACTTGTATGGTATTTGGTAGCCATGTAACAGCACGATTAATATTCAGCAATAAAAGCTGTGGGAATGAAAAAAAAACAATAATGACTAGGTTTCATTGTAGAACTTTGCACAGAAAGTGCGGAGCAATTCAATGTGTTGCAACACTCGATACACAACACACACACACACACACACACAAAAGTTGGAAAAAATACACATTCACACCGACTACAATGAACGGAAAAGTAACATGGAGAATCATGACGAATTAATGTATCTGTGCAATTGATGAGAACAATTCTGAGCGGTATTACCAACAGTTCCAAGTGTCTCAAGCACCCCCCCCGGCAACAAGCTAGTCTAGTCTACATCGTCCTGTATCGCCAAACTCAGCAGTCAAAGACTTCATGGATTACTGCAAAGTTTTCATTTGACCACGCCCCGCCGCCTTTACTCGCGACTAGGAGGGCAGCGATTTGGCATGACTCAACATAATACAGATTTGTAGCTCTCACAAGTGTGGATGATGTTGATTTAGTTATGTTCTCTGAGCTGTCTGTCCGTTTTCGACATAGAACTTCGTACATATGTGCGGAAGTTCAAGTCGCCACACTCCCTCCTTGTAACACACAAAGCAACACAAGAAAGTAGAAGAAATGCATAATAGAGACAGTAGACAGAGGTGTGAGACAAAGGAATAGTAATAACGAAGAACAAAACAGTATCATTGGAAATCACAAGTCACAAGGAGTGGATGCATCTTCGCCAGCCATTGAGAACGATTTTGAGCCATGTCACCAATAGTTTCCAACCATTGGTTTTTACCGTCCCGAGGACCCCAACCAGTCAGGAAGTTTACACCTTCCTACGTGGCTGGCCTAAACTAACTGTTGTGGATTTCATTGACTGGTGCCAAGTTTTTGGTTTGACCGTCACCAGCTCTTTTCCAGCCTGACCCTATGTCAGGTAACATTGCCCACTGTCGAGGAAGGCGATGGATGACTAGACATACGTAACACATGCCCTAACCATCTCAGTCGATGTAATTTCCTGATGTTACAGGACTGAACCACACTGACAAAATCTTCAGTGCAGATTTTAGTATGAAAGTAACTTCTTTGAATTCTCCACGAATGACACCACCGTATCTCCTGATAACTACTGTTGTGATTGGTTATTAGTTTACATCTCTATCGGTCATTTTTATTGACTTGGAATTTGAAATCTCTGGGCATATGACTTATTCTTTATTAATTGTTAGATTTGGTCTATATTTGAAAGGCGACCTGCTTAAATCATTTGGGCTACCGAAATTACTTTTCTCTAAAATGCTTAATTTCATCTGGATTTACCATTGTTTTAATCGTCCAGTTATATCAAATGACCTACTGTCTATCTGTTTTCGACATAGAACTTTGCACAAATGTGCGGAAGTTCAAGTCGCCACATTCCGTGTAGCACGCGAAGCAAGAGAAGAAAGTACAAGAAAAGCATAATAGAAACAGTGAGCAGAGGTGTGAGACAAAGGAGTAATAAAGAAATACAAAACAGTTTCAAATGACCTACACATAAACTTGCGCGATGATTTAACTTACTCCCAAGTAAACGCTGTACAATTCTTCAACGAAATGAAAATATACTTCAGATTATTACTTTACATGTGAATCTGGTATGGAGATTAAAGTACTTTGGAACTGAATACGCTGAAAATTTTTGTGCCGTTTATTCGCACACTGTCTTAAATAAAGCTTTACCATTATTATTATTATTAATGTTTGTTAGTTACTGATTCTAGAAGTTTCCCCATATTGAATTGGTGTCCGTAATTGATTACCTGCACTTATATGCAGGAACACAACATATCGTGTTTTTTCACAGCTAATTCATGTTCTGCGATTACGATTCGAAGTGGACGCCAACAGGAAATTTAGAAAAGCAATAATTCAATGACTCACAAAGAAAACTGTATGCAAACATTGCTTAAAAGAGTTCAAACACACACTGTGGCACAGCTCCGGTGTTGAAGAGAATGGAAGATGACTAGTAAATACCATACAAATTCACCAAAAAGTGTTTAAACTCAAGAAAACTCCTTCTACCAATATATAAAGAATATTTCTGAAATAACACCTAGAATACTAAGACCTTTTGAAACTGACATCGCACACAAGCCAACACCCAACGACTTCTACTCAACAGTGTGTAGATCGAAGAACCCAACAGCAAAAGAAGATAAGATCAATACTACTTACAAAATAAATTTCATAAACTACGATAAACATCACATAGATCAAAGGGGACATCGCCTTCAAATCCAGGTTTAAGAACATAAATTAGCTGTAAAAAGACACGACACGTTGTATTCTTTCATATCGATGCATGTAGACAATTACAGACACCAATTCAGTTAGAAGAATGTGGAAATTTTTAACAGAAAGGACACCAAATATGTCAGAGAATTCCTAGTAGCCTGGTTAATACTCAAATGTGAATCAGCAATTAACCAATACATTATTTCATACATTTGGTTCCCTTGAAACATAGAGCTCTTAGATGATTTAATCATGCTCTTAGCTTATGGTGGAGAGATATGTGGATAACAATCGATCACTGTCTTGAACATCTGAACATATCCCACAGTTTTTCACACAAGATAAACTAATAGTAGACGGAATCCAATTCAATTTAATTCAAGTGAAAAAGTGAACAAGGTGAGGTGACCATGCTGAACTGTTAAATGAAACGAAAACAAGATGGTGGGTGAGTAGATGCTAGCATTTATAAGAAATGGACATTCCCTAATAAATAATACTTAGAGTCTAATTCATACCATAAAAATTCGGTAGAGAAAGGTTTACGTCATCAAAATGTTTCTATAATGTGATGAATAATCAAAATTGCTACCAGGGTTGCATAATATAAGATAGGGTGTTGGTGGAGATACGTGTCAAAAAATAATAAATTACGCAATAGGTAGAAAGAGCAAAAAAACTTGGTTAAGAAGAAGATGTTAGTTACTAAGATCCTATACGAAAATTTAAAAAACAAAAAAAGAACAAAAAATATTATTAACAGTCGCAGGATAGGCAGGCGCGTCTTTTCAAAAAACTTCATATATTTGGTCCCCTTGATAAATGTCGATAAAGAAAGGAAGACGAAATTTGCAGTATAAAATGTGATATCATCAATCTATTTCACAGGTTTTCATCAGCTGCCATTGACTACCTGAAATTACAATGGTTATGTGCGTGATAATAATAACATACTTTAATGTTTGAGTGGTCGTAGAAAAGAGATACTATAAAATTGACGCATCTAAATGAAAGCATTACAATGTTTTTAGTTTAAGTTTTCATCATCAATTTATACGCTTTTAAAGTTGAAAAGAGGGGGAGGGGTAAGAGATAAAACAGAAAAAATTGATTAACAGAACAATTAACAGAACAGTGTTAGCTTTTAGGTTCACATAGCAACTCAAGAAACAAAAACGGTTACAGTTTATGAGATTAAGATTTGTTCAGTGAGTTGAGATCACTGAATTAGATGACTAATCAAAATCAAAATTCTGTTACCAAGGGAGTGAGAGGTTAATCACACTCTCTTTCTGTATGCATAAGTCTGGTTTAAGTCTTTTGATTGCGATTGCTTCGGCAAATCGTAGTAAATTTGCTGTCCTTTGTCTATTTAATATTTTGAAGGACTTAAAAATCTCTACGAGACGTCCGGTATCAATAATGTGTCTGGTAATTGCACTCTGGGAATATCTGCTTCCTTCCAGGCACAGGTTTTTGGGAATATGTTCAGAAAACCGGATAGAAGCCCTTATTTCTGTCCTTCCAATGTACTTGCTCCCGCAAGTGCACGTGAATTCATAAACGCAGTTGGAGGTGACTTCAGCAGGGTATTTATCAAGTTTTGAGTGGATTATAGAAGGAGTGGGGCTGTATACTGTTATGACACCAGACTTATGCATACAGAAAGAGAGTGTGATTAACCTCTCACTTCCTTGGTAACAGAATTTTGATTTCGATTAGTCATGTAATTCAGTGATCTCAACTCACTGAACAAATCTTAATCTCATACACTGTAACCGCTTTTGTTTTTTGAGTTGCTATGTGAACCTAAAAACTAACAACTGTTCTGTTAATCAATTTTTTCTGTTTTCTCTCTTACCCCTCCCCTTCTTTTCAACATTAAAAGCGTATAAATTGATGATGAAAACTTAAACTAAAAAACTGTAATGCTTTCATTTTGGATGCGTCAATTTTATAGTATCCCTTCTCTACTACCACTCAAACATTAAAGTATGTTATTATTATCACGCACATAACCATTGTAATTTCAGGTAGTCAATGGCAGCTGATGAGAACCTGTGAAATAGATTGATGATATCACATTTTATACTGCAAATTTCGTCTTCCTTTCTTTATCGAAATACATTATTATCGATCGAATTTACCACCAACTAATAAAAAAAAAATAACATGATAGGAAAATTCAAATTCAATAAAAATGATTAACAACCACCACCAATCACGACAACGATTGTCAAGAGGTACAAACAACACTACATATCATCAATCACATGGAGAATTCATCAAATTAGTTCATTTCATCCTGGTCTTCAGGTTAAGCGGGCCCAGACTAAACACTCAGCAGATAGTATATGCCTAAAGAGTTCAATCAGATCTACCAGAATAAAATAGTATTATTTCTAAAAACTTCATGCAATTCTTCCCATTTATAAACTTGAATAAAGCAAGAACAACAATTGTTGTACCAGGATAATACGACCTCATCTTTTATTATTTAATCAAGGATTCTTCTCAACTGGTTACAACCTGAACGTTAAAAAATATGAATTACATTAAAGATATGAACATACTTTTCCACGATCACAGGGAGCAATTGGTAGGAATTAAAAGTAACATTAGTTAGGAAGGGAGAAATGCCTACGCGACAACGGTTACCAAAAAAAGTTCATCGACAAGTATGGGAGACGTCATGTTGAAAAAGTGAAAAGCAGTATAGTAGATAAAAAGCGTATCTTTCTGCAGCTTGCATTCAGAGGTGATGATACTGCTAGTAGAATAAGATGCAGACTGAACGCTGCCATGAAGAGAACATATCCAGCCGCCAAGCTTGTATATGTTTATCAAACAACCAGTTGTTTGAGACAATCAAAAGTGGACAAATACCCATCTCATGTTACCTCCAACTGTGTCTACCAATTTACATGTACGTGCCAAAGCACATACATTGGAAGAACAGAGTGAAGGGTTAGTGTCCGCATCTATGAACACATACCAAAGAACTTGAGACTGAAAGGTCCCCAAGCATTAAACAGTGCTATTGGCCGTCATCTATTGGACACTGGTCATATTGTAGACAACCTGAAGTCGTTTAAAATAATCAACAAGCAAAAGAAACCTAGCTTGCTACGCTTTGCTGAAGCAATTGCCATCAAACGACTTAAATCAAATCTATGTACGCAGAAAGAGACAGTGGTGAATCTTGCACTGCCCTGATGATAACAAAAAAAATATACAACTTTCATGAGTCACCTTTTTCATGTTTAGAAAACTTTACTCTCTCATCTAAACACGACTCACCATACCTTGTTTCTTTTCTTTCCTTTTTTCTATTGGCTATTAGATAAGATGTTTTCTTTAGTTATGTAATCTAGTAGATACTTTTTTCTTAAGCTCTTTCTAGCTAAACCTTGTTTCTACACGCACACACACACATATATACACAACCCTGTTTTTTTTTGTTTCCAAGCCTAATTGTCTAATTATTCTATAAATAGTCAGTGTTTGTAACTCCTAATCAGTTAAATCATTCGGGACTAATGCTACTTTTAATTCCTACCAATTACTCCTTATGATCGTGGAAAAGTATGTTCATATCTTTAATGTAATTCATATTTTTCAAGGTTCAAGTTGTAACCAGTTGAGAAGAATCTTCGAAATAATAAAAGATGAGGTCGTATTATCCTGGTACAACAATTGTTTTTCTTGCTTTGTTCAAGTATTATTTCTAGTTGAAGGCAACCGGAAACCAGCTTGAAATAATAATTTATCAGCATGCCTAACTACTACTTAAACTGGTCTCCTCTAGATGACCATGCATCACCTCATATCAGTCAATCAATCAATCGATCAATAGTATAATGACACTGATATTTTTCCTTTTCAATAGTATTGTACCCTTGATAAGAAGGAAAATATTTCCCTAATAATATAAAAGCAGAGATAAATGAACTTTTAAAAAGGAAGAATGAAGAATTGTATTCGCATTTAAAGTACATTTATTGATTGATTATTCTAGTATATTAACTAGTAAAATATATACTAAGTTAAACCTAAAAATGGAGAGAAAAAAGTCTTTATAAGGTTAGGCAACTAACTAGCTAACTAACTAACTGCACTTAGAAAAAAACATTTGTAAATCCAATTAATTTATAGATCGATTAACTTTATTAACTGTTTAACACCTATACAAAAAGTTAAAGACAACAGTCAGTTATACAGTGATCGCCCACTACGAATGGTTACATTCCATCTCTTCACTACTGATATGTATCCACATGATGTGTGTTTTGTTTTTGACAGTCTGTTATATTTTGCTATGTGTATATGGATCAATATTCCAAATTATGTTATGTACTGCTGCTGAGTGAGTTATTAGAGTTTTCCCCGTCGCCAATTATGTTATGTACTCGTCGAGTAGTTAATAGTCCTGACGCGGATAGAGGGAAATCAGAAGACCACCAGGTTTACGATGATACTTGTATTTTCCAGACAAGGAAAATAAATGTCACACAAGCGTGTGAGTGGAAGGGTACTTAGATGTACGAAACGTGGGAACAAGAAGAATGAACAAGAATAATAAAGCAAGAGTATATATGAAAATGGCTAATACACATGAACCAATAAAACAACGTCTTACCATGATTGGTTGTAATGTCATGTGATAACAAGGTCATATATTGTTTATTTAGTTAGTGGACAGACAAAAGCATAATGTCAGTTATAATGGAATACCGATCCATATACACATAGCAAAATATAACAGACTGTCAAAAACAAAACACACATCATGTGGATACATATCAACCACAGATTGATATCAGTTAGAGAACCATTGGAAACAACAACCAGCAAGGAGAACTGGACAACCAGATGTTTCAGGGTTACTTTGACACTCTTTATTAGGATGCAACCCGCCCACTCCGCCAGGGTTCGAGCCAGGAACTCGTCACTACTACTTCTAATTAGAACTAACTCTAGGCAACTTTGTCCTGAAACCAATCACTCACTAGTGAGTATAAGACTCATTTTCAAGAGGTAATTTTCTTGAGATTTGGTTTCGTCTTGAGTTACACCGGGGATCAATATCAGTTAGAAAACCATTGAGAAAACCGGGGAGTACAGGACAGCTACCTCACCCCCAGTTTAAGACCAATCGCCAGCCAGTACGCACTGGCTGGAGTTCAAACTCCAGTACTCTCTGGATTCCAGTGGTTCTCTATCTGATATTACTCCGTGAACAAACTTGAAACAAATCAAATCCTGGCAAACAAACTCTTGGTATAGCACTATCAGTAAGGGTAGATCAACCGATGAAGCTGCATTTATTGAGAAGGCTACAACACATGTCACATGCACGCCGAGCCATCGCTTTCCTCGCAGACATTAAGATGGAGATAGGAAATAGTTACGCGTGGTAAGACTAAGACATGTCATCAATCCATGAAGCCTTTTGACTTTTGGTTTGAGCTAGCTATATGACGGCAGCCTGCTTAACTCACTAAGTGTTACCTAAATCTCTTATACATCAAAATGCATAGTGTTGCATCGAATTGCATCCCAGAGGCTTTCATACCAGTCTGTGTTTGCTAGACCTGGGATCGGATGAAGAAGATGGAAAAGTGGTCCGCTGCCTATGATGTGGTATCGTAGGATGAAGGATATTTATGTCAGGTTAGCATCGGTTGGTGTATATCACAGCTTCTTTGTTGGGGTCCGACAGATAGCTGGAATTCAGTGGCCCGAAATTTTATCGGATATGACCAAGAATCGCATCCATCAATGGCGAACATGATACCATTGCCTTTCTTTCTTCCCTTCTCTGACAGTGTAATAATCTTGGCAAATATACCTGCTTCCTTTCTGTAGAACGTCTTTTATTCATTCTTTACCTATTTTCTTTACAGATGTATTGTTGCTTCATTATTACTGTAATGCAAATTTTCTTCATGGCCTATATTGTACCAGGTTCTGTGTTTTAAAGGATCCATCTAGGTCTAAAACAATACTGACAGTGGATTAGATCACAAACGCAGGAAAACAGAATCACCATTAACGCTTGTCCAAAAAATTTAGCGTCCCAAAGAAACCACTCTACATGAACCTTCAATTCAATGCAGATATATCTGCGGAAACACTAAAAAATCGACTGTCGCGCTCACTCAAGATCTTCTTCGCAGTTGAACTACGACTAACTTTCTCCACAAAACCTTTGATTCATGTGAACGTGAAGGATAAGCTACCACTGCCGACTGGCCTCATCAATGTGTATTTATCAATTCACCTGCTCGTGTGGAGCCAGGTATGTCGGCCGTACCCAGCGTACGCTTTCCAAGCGTATCACCGAACACTTACCAGAATGGTTTTACAAAGGAGAGAAACGATGTCCCCACAACTCCATCTCAGAACATCTGATAGAATCCGGACACCAAGCTGCACCCCAAACAAACTTCAAAGTCGTCTACAGAGTAAGAAGTAGTATTCCTAAAGGTGTACAAATCAGACTTCTACAAACTGCAGAAGCAATGGCGATTCACTTGCTAAGTCCTGAACTCTGCATGCAGAAGAAGTTCGTTCAATCACTACACTTTCAATGGAAGTAATCTATCTTATTACCCGACAAGTAAATTCTACCTAATCTTTTTTTTGTCTGAGTCTTCATTAGCATTATTTTGTCTTCTCAAATTGTAATATTTTACATTTTCAACTTTTTTATTCTCTACCCCCAGCCGATTTAATTTCTACACCTCACCACTACCACTGTTACTGACTTGACCAACGCTCAATTTCTAGTCATTTATGTTACGTTATCCAATTTATTTCCTCAATTTCAGTTCTAATTTAAGTGGCACTATTATCTATCCCACTTCTACTTAGTCTCTACCTGTAATTACCTCTGTTGCTACCCTGACCTGAGTTGAAACATTTTAGTCAATTATATATCGCCATCTAACTTACTAACTCAATCTTCCTTTAGTTGCTGTCTAATTAGCCTTGTTTCTATATTAGATAATTCTTGTATTACCTGATCAATTATCTAAACTTGACAAACCTCATGTACACACACACAAATAATAATTATATATAAATTTGATTGTACAGCTATGTGAGTGAATTCGCCGAAAAGAGTCTCTTCGCTGAACGTCTTCTCTTTTTCAAAAAATTTACGCCAACCATCTGCGTCGGTGGTTCAGTGGTAGAACATTAGCCAATTAAGAGAGAAGTCCGGGGTCTGATCCTCGGTCAAAAACACACTTCTTTACCTCACTCAGCCGGTAGTAATCCTGGTAAAAAAGGAAATGTTGGGTGTGTGTGTGTGTGAAGGGCAAGCAACCGTATCCCGTAAAACTGGACAAAACATACCACTGCTACTGAAACTTCAAGACTCTAGTTTGAAGCCCTACCCACACCCCCACCCCTTATATTCCAGTGAGAATTCAAAAGGACCAAAAAATTTTTTAAAAATCAATAACATGTCGACGATACTTATTTTCAAAGGAAAACAAATAAATAGACGGACAGACAGATAGATAAAAGGTTTACTAACCTCAAAGTGTAAAGGATCTGTTGCAAATGGACATTCATATAGAATAATGAATAGATTGACTAATTTTTGTTGTTCAATAGCTATTTCATCACACGTAGGATGAGCATCATCTAAACCATCAGGTGGTTGTATAACTAACAGTTGATGCAAATTGATTACCACCAGACGGCGTACAGCTCTCATCAGTGTATCAACAATATTTTGACGTTCACGTAGTGATACAATCAGTGACCATGCTTGACGTAAATCATATAGATTAACAGATGGCCAATATCTATTATTTGTTGATTTATTTGTAATAGGTTTAAGCGAATTTGACATATCCGTTAGTTGATCAGCTGTAATTATTGACAAACAAAAAATAGAGAGAAAAAGGAAACCAAAAGATGTACTCTCAACGTGAAATTACGTGATGACTATAAAGCTGTAACAACTTAATAATAGTAATAATAACAAGAAATAAGTTGCTTCATTTCAAAACAATACTTATGATACAGTGCGGAATTGTGAACATTTAACTAACTAACTGACTGACTAGTTTCGACGTAGAACTTTGCACCGATGTGCAGCAGCTCGAGTTGCCACACTCCACGTAACGCACAAAGCAAGAGAAGAAAGTAAAAAGAGATAAGAAACAGAGATAATAAAAGGAGTTATGAGGGAAAACAGTAGTAATATGGAAGAACTAAACAGTTTTATTGGGTAAAAGTCACAAGGAATGGATGCATCTGTGCTATTGAGAACGATTTTCAGTCATATCACCAATTGTCTAGGAGAAACAAGTCATGTATTGATCAAATCGCCACATTACGGATCATAATTGAGCAAAGCTTGAAATAGCAGTCACCTCTCTATCTCAACTTCATCGACTTTGAAAAGCCCTTCAACAGCGCAGCGTCGATCGAGAGGTGATTTGGCAACTACTTCGCTACTACGGGGTGCCATCGACAACTATACATCTCATCCAAAAGTTGTACAACAATGCTGCATGCCAAATAATCCACAACGGGAAACTCACAGAAGCCTTCGAAGTAAAGACGGGAGTGAGGCAAGGCTGTCTACTATCGCCAATGATTTTTCTAATTGCAGTAGATTGGATAATGCGACAGACAGCGTACAATGAGGAAACAGACATAAAATGGACTCACTCAAAAAACTTGGAGAATCTGGACTTCACCGATGATGATATATGTCTGATTTCCCACTCACTCGAAGATATGCAAGTGAAAAGCAACAAGATGGCAGAAGAAGCATCCAGACAAGATAGGACTTCAGGTGAACATAGATACAACAGAGATGATGAAGATTCCTGACCAACACCAACATCAACAACAACAGACAACAATCAGCCGGCATAAATGGCAGGAACCTGAAACAAACAACCTCCTTTACCTACCTACCCAACTGGGAAGCATCGTTTCAACTACAGGCGGACGGAACGGACGAGGATATCAAAGCCAGAATCGGAAAAGCAAGACAACCTTTCATTACTCTTAAGTCTGTGTGGAGGTCAACAGCACTCACCGTCAAAAAGAAGACCCGGATTTTCAACTCCAATGTGAAGTCGGTGCTACTCACTGCATGGATAAGAGACTTGCACTGCGCGTCATAAACAGCATCTCAAACAAACTACAGACCTTCATTAACAGTTGTCTTCGCTCAATACTCAAGATCAGATGGCCAGCCAGAAAAGATCAGCAACACGGGTCACAGGCAATGACCGAACCAACCAGGAACCGATTGTGCAACAAAAAGGTAGGAAGAAATAGAGGTGGATTGGCCATACTCTGGCCATACCATCAAGTGACATCACACGCCAGAGCATCGCTCGAGTGGAACCCGAAAGGGAAGCGGCGAGTTGGTCGTCAGTGCAAGGGTGACATGGAGGAGGCCATGTGAAGAGGAGATAAAAGCGTGTTGGTAGACTTGAAGTGGGGTGAAAAAGTTGGCAGAAAACCAAACGCAATGGAGACGCGCGGCTGGAGCCCTATGTTCCTCTAGGAATTAAAGGATATAAGAATAATAATATCAGCAATTGTCTAGAGCCTTCGTTGGTTTTTACCATTCCAAAGAGCCAAACCAGTCAGGAAGCCTACAACTCCATACGTGGCTGTTTTAAACTAACTGTTGTAGATTTCATTGACTGATGGCGTGTTTTGGTTTGACCACCATTAGCTCTTTCTCAACCCACTCCCATGTCACCTAACAATTGATCGTCGAGGAAGGCGATGGCTACGCATGTGCAACACATATCCTAACAATCTGAAGCGATGTAACTTCACAACCTCGTCAACTGGTTTCCCCTCCTTACCTAGCACTCGACTCCTAACCTCAATATTGCTTACCTTATTATACTACTTACCACGAAAGATAAAACGCAGACGCCTATGATCAAAGACAGCTAGCTAGGCCTTTTATGCCGTCCACTCTCAATGGTCATGTCTTACAGTCATAAAGGAGAACGGACTGAACTGTTGAGCACTACACACGTCCTTTGGTCGATAGCCAATTGATGTGATCCAGGTTGGCAAACGCCAAACGAGCCTTCTGTATCCGTCAGTGATTGAATCGTTGGCACTAGCTGATGCAACTCCCTAATAAGCAAAGTGCCTCCAAAGCCTCAGGATGGTCGGGGGTGGGTGTCTTGCGCTGCGGGCTAGCCACCCCTCCGTACACCTCTTGAAATGTTCCCATATGACCGTGCGTCTTACATAGCCTCTCCTGAGGAAGTCCTACTCACTGCCTTCACGTGGCGGAGGTGTTTTTCACCGAAGTGAGAGGGCAAAAGCGGATGCCCGGCGCTCTTCACCGGGTTGACTGTCCATTGGATGACAGTCTAGGGGAGATGGCTAAACCCTGATTCCAAACCTCCAACGACTGGCGTATGAAGCTCACCGGAGTTCACCGGCAGACGTATGGACAAAGAGCTTATTGGATGCCCTGGATGTCTGGCCCCATTCAAAAAGGCGTATGAACCGGACTCCGGTCACCGGCTGCCAATGGATAGTGGACTCCCTACTCCACTCCTACTGCCTTGTAGGTCACACTTGGCTGTGTAAAGGCTAGAGCTGCACTCTCAAACAAAAGGCCGAGCGATGCTGGGGACATCACTCGTACCCAATTCCCATGAAACTTCATCAACTCTCTTACAAACATTCGAGATGTTCATGAAGCCGGTTCATCCTCCCGTAGGAGATAGCCGAAGTAAAGTAAGTAAGTAATAAGCAAAGTGGTTACCACGTTCCACCAACCATTTCACTCCCTATCTTTAAGTTAGGAGTCGATGTAGTCCAGTTCAGTCCTGTAGCATCACGGTATATTTGGTGGGAGCGAATCGCATGCCAAACATCCGCAGATTGCAGCTCAATGTTCAGAAGAATGTATTTTGTCAGCGGCCTCATCTAGAAGGACATTTGGTACAATAATGTATGTAACTTATCCTAGCAACAACCACAACAACAAAACATCACAGCGTATAGATAACCGACATTGATGATAATAGCAGGTTTTTGGTATTAGCAGTGACCCCAAAGTCAAAAGTATAAAATTATAATAATAATGTTAATAACTAAAATGATAAGGTGATTGAAATTGTGACACCTTATATTACAAACAAAAGGTAAAAGAACTAATTATTTTGCCAACAAACTACATTGTAAGTTTTAAGTTTAATACTATCTCTAACATATAGAACTCAGGTAAGCCAAATACAGTATCGATGAGTTTTTGTAATTAGTTATGTTAACGAATGTATAATTCTCTATAATGACTTCTAATCCTCCTACCTGATGAGATGCAAGGACAAGGGCAGAGTTGTCAATACAGAGTATGTTGAGAGTCAGACCACTTCTCCCATGAGTCCAAGTGTCTGTTGACTAAGATAGCAACGAGCTGGCTGACTTAGTGGGACGTCAATTGCTCTACTGACAACCTTTAATATCCTTCACAATATGACATAGTCCTCTTTGACTAATCTAGGAAGGACTAAGGGGGAAGAGTAAAGAGCAATAAATAAAATGCGAGAGTTCAAAAATTGTAGAAGTATAGGCTGAGTGATACCAACCCCACTGTCTTAACTTCTTAATGTAGAAGGCTAGATGCAACAAGATATGGGATGGCCAACCTACAAAGGTGGGAGGATAGAACCAATCCAAGGTATTTTATACCTAACTTAGCTTCTATTTCAGTGACCTCTATGTTACAAGCATCTTGTGACCGAATAAGTTCGGGTAGATCACATTTATGCGTGAAGATGAAATTAACTGTCTGACAGTTACAGGGGTCATTTAGCCTCGACCATTGGCTAATGTCGGACAAAAAGTTATTCATATTGAGACACTCAGATTATCAGTGTGTATTTAACAAAGTTGATTTGACTTCTTCCGAAAGAAAAAAGAAAAGGAGACAGAACAGCACGTTGAGAGACACCAACTTCAGTTAGCACGATAGAGGAAGATTTGCTTCTACCTACAGTATACTGTACTCTGTTAGAGAAACAAGAATGCAACCAGTCAACAACCCAGAACTCGGTTTGTTTCAAGGAAAGCCATCTGGTTACAGAGTTAAAAGAAGATTTGTTATCAAGGTAGGGACATCGGACATACTTGGTCAATTTGTTTAAGGAGGAAACAATATTATGATGATGTAGGGCAGCAGCATCTAAAGTACTTCAGTCCTATTTATACAATCAAATTGTTTAGGGTAATTAAAACTTTTCAAGGAAAGTTCAAAATTGAGTAGAAGTAATACGGTGTATGTAAGAGCACTCTATCGATTAGTTCAACACTAACCTGCTAAAAATATGGGCATCCAAAGATGAGCCATCCAATCCGGGATTGAATCCCGGACCACAGACACACTTCTTAACCTCGCTTAACCGCTAATAAGTCTGCTGGTAAAGAGGGAAGATTGGGCGTGAGGTTAGCGACCTTCACCTCCTTTACCACAGCAACTGAAACTATAAAATTTAAAACAATTAGTTCCCTTTATGAATTTAGATAAGGCAATAAGAAGACGTAATTTGTCTGAATCGTGTAATGTGTATTTGCGCAACACATTTCAAACAAACAAATGTTCGAATGGGAATTATTCATGAACATTTCGAATAATCTGATCACACAAGGACTTGTCATAGGAATATATAAAAAATTAATAAAGAGGTAAGAGGTGAGAAAATAGACTTAGGTCACGTTAAAAGGACATATTCAAGGTCAAAATAACAATGAAGATCACTGAACCAAACAGCAGAGGTAATAATACATATGCTATGATATCAAAACAAAATTTACCAGAGAACGTTTAATGTGATGACGAATTGTTTTTGAACGCATAAAGGTGG